ATTTGTTTTTATCTGAATATTTGGATGGGAGAGGAGTATTGGCCAGGACACCAGGACATTGTGCTCTTTTTCAGAAGGTATCACAGAATCCTTAATTTAAATATATTAGCAAAAGGTTGGCACATCCAACTACGCAGTACTCTCTCAGTGTCAGCCTGGAATATATACTCAGATCCTTGTGTGGAAAGCAAGAATACTACCAGCTGAGATGAAATGACAACTGTAACCAAAAGTGTAATAATATAGCAAAACATAAACTTGTTTTGACAAGGGTTTTGTCTTTGAAGAATAGGAGATAGACTGTTAAATAATTTGTTAGAATAAGCAATTTTTCCAAGGACAAGTTGTAACACCTTCCCTCGAAGACACAATAGTGTCTTATAGTGACACAATATTATTTATATAAACACTGTAGTATTTTAATGTTCCCAAAGTATTCCTTCGCTCCTGAAGGTGGTGATTCATGCTAGGATATGGTTCCAGTGATATGATCATTCCTCACTTGAGTTATTGAACCATAGGAGTCCCACCATTTATCATATCTAAATGCCCACAAAAGTCCAGTTAAAAGTATGAACCCTGCCTGATTGTTTGCTCCCTCATTTACAGATGCTGAGGTCAATTGTATATTCACTACTGGTGCACACTCCCAGCACAACATTGGAGTGTCAGCCTAGACTGTAAGCTCAACGTCCTGACTTATCGGGTTACTGGAAATGGTTGTAGTTAAATGTTTTCATCTTAAATGTACATCATATTCCAAATTTGCATTGGAAATTACAATCCAGGGTAAAGGACCAACCAGTGTTGCAAACCTGATGTGATCTCTCCTATTTATAGTCTGAAAACTTGGCACTCTCCTCTCTCAGAGCCAGAAGGAACAGAAAGATGGAAGTGAAGTGTATGAAGAATATTGTCAGTCAAAGAATAAAGAAAATCGTACATGTTTCTTCATTATTCAGAATCTGTCATATTCTGCTGTACATTAATGATAGTTACAAAGAAAAGGCCTCATTGTGCGAGTTAAGATTCTATTCATGAGGTTTAATCTACAGAGGATAACTGTTAAGTCTAAACAATGCTTGGTGAATATAAACTTGAGAATGCCTTGTATAAATTTTGAATTGAGACTTAGCCTAGTAACATCCAGATGAAGGCAAATATCTAAGAGGAAAACCTAAAGTGGTCAAGCAAAACCTCTACAAATCAACCTGCCAATATAACAACAACTTCCATTTATGTAGTGCCATTCACGCAGGGCAGTGTCTCGAAGAGCTTAATTGTGGTGGAGCCTGACACCGAGCCAGTGGGAGGGAGGAGATGGCCGTTAGCACGGTCGAAAAGGTCTTCAGTCATGATCTAAAAGAGGGGGAAGGAGGGGGCAAGTCAGAGGGATTGAGGGAGAGTTCCAAAACTTCGGGGCGTAGTGGTTGAAAGTGGCAGCGATGATGGAGCAGAGGGGATGAGGGATGAGTTGGATAGACAATGTTCAATTTATTCTTCTGTAGCATGTATTAAATTTACATTGATTTCACTGATTTTTGTGTAACATAGACCTATACAAGGAATATCTAGTAAAAAGAAGTCATTTTATTAAGTATATCTAGTGCTAAAATACTCCAAATTGAATTGTTACAGGATAAAGTGTTTTCGAACATGATGAGTTTCTCTCATCATTCAATTCAGACATATTGTAAGCAAACAGGTCAGTTTGACCTAATATATGAAGTACAAATTCACATGGTTACATTTGTTCCAAACAATATTGGAGTCCTATTTGAAAAATATCAGCATTTTTACTTACTAAAGATTCTGATGGTTTTTAATCCCTCAAGAATAATCAGTAATGCCTTTTTAGCTGCAGCAATTTTGCACTCTGTAACTTATCATATGCTTGCTCCTTTAAAAACTTAATCTAACCTAACAATAACATATTTACAAGCCTTATGAATAGCAAGTTTTATTATCAATCTTACAATCAGACCATTCCTATTGAACTGAATTAGTTTTGTATAATAACAAAATGTTCTGGTCAATTAGTGTTCAGAAAGGAAATGGTGGTCTGTGGTCTTCTGCATGCAACCGTTCACAAGTTCAATATCAGGAACATTGCTATATTTAGTTTCAATTTAACTAATTGTCACCTCAATAACAAATGCATGAAAATTTCATTATTATTCTCAATTATATGTCCATTTGTGAACCAAACCCTCTGCTCAAAAGTGCTTCTCTTCACCTAGTTGCAACTGTTGGGCCTTTATTTTCCTCAAGGAAATACCTTAATAATACCAACAATTAAAAACACAACTTGCTCCAAATCCCCTAAACTTTGAATCCAACTCCCTGAAACAGTGAATCTTATAAACATGTAATTAATCTTTGATCCATAGGTTAAATTTTATCCATCATCCTTTCGGGCAATGTTGTCCAACCATAGGTTGTCAAAGTACATGCAGCTCATGAAGGGTCTTGATGTGGCTCACATTCACCTCAGCTTCAGCAGAAAGTATGTTTCTCAGTTTATCCCCATTGATTATTTGTTTACAAGAGAATTATGCATGGCAATTTAAACAAGTTATATGTATGTGGTAAAAATTTCTCTAGTCAGGATTTTTGAATGTTCTGTTCAAATAGTCATCTAAAATAATATTCATCTGAATAATCAAACAAAACAAGTGTATTCAATTGATTCATGATGTCGATTTATATATTAAATACACGATTCTCACAAACTGTTTTCTATTTGGACCCTGTGATGTCTCTATTCTCTTCATAAGGAAATGCCTATCAGTAAATACGAGCAACTGTAAAATTCTCAATGACTTGTTGACAAAGTTGATTTGAAAATTAACAAATTATTGCAACATGCTGCAAGTTTGAATTGAGTGTGGAATATTCAAAAACACACATCGTCTTCAATGTACTTACAAACACGTAAGCAATATCTTTGTTGTAGTGATTCCACTACAATTATGCTGTTGCTGTATACGTCTTGGATTGAAAACTCACACATGCATCTCCGGTGTACCAGTTAATAATAATAATAATCCTTGCATTTGATATAGCGCTTTTCACGTCGGGAGGACGTCCCAAAGCGCTTCATAGAACTCACTGTAAAGTGAATTGACTGTATATTTGTGGGCGAACGTGGCAGCCAATTGCGCACAGCAATGTCCCACAAACAGTCGTGGATTGAAAATGACCAATTTTATTATTGTTTTTGGTTTTGTAGGGATTATTATTAGGCGTGTGGAGTAAGGAAACTTCCCAAGGTTTCGCCCTGCCTGGAATTGAACTCAGGTCTCTCGCTTGCAAAGCGAGTGCTCTAACCACTGAGCTACAGGACTCCACAGTTAAGAGAAGTGCGCGCATACACACACACACATCTGCAGACTAGGTATTGTTTTTTGCTATTGACGGATGCGTCGTTTGACGCATGTCAAAGGTGAACTTTCGAAGGTGAACTTCGCATGTCGAAGGTGAACTCTGATGAACTTTTATGTGAGAGATCAGGTCGATTCTGGCTATGATGCTTTTGTCACACACATTACAAGATTAGGGATTATAATCTTTATATAGTGTGGCCACCCACACCAAGAAAAGGGCGTTGTTGCATAATGTGCTAGAAACAACGAATAAGTTGTTGTTAGAACTTGTGAAAATTCATAGAAAAGCTACAGTTGCTTCTACAGAAATTATTGAACCAAGAGAGGAACCTCCTGCAAAGAAGCGGAATTGGTCAGAAACTGAAAATTCCCGTCATTTTCAAGGGTCTTGGGAAAATCAGTTTGCTGTCAAGGCAGTACGTTTCGTTACTTTACGAAGTAAAAGTACAAGGAATATTTCCTTCATGGATGGGATTTAACTTGCCAACGGAAAAACTGAAAATTATAGGGGTGTAAGTTTGACTCATCAATCAAAAAGTCAATACAGTGTGACACAGCAATAAAAGGTAAAGAGTGCTGATCTATGTCGCCAGATCAGTCGTGTTCAGAAGTAATTCTCAGGCTGCATAGTGCTCTGGTCAGGCCACACTGTGTACAGTTCTGGTCATTATGACATGTAGAGGAGAGCAATGACTAGTGAGGAATGAGCTATGAGTAACAATTAGAAAAGCTAGGGCTCATCAGTCTTGAAAAGAGACATTTCAGTGGGGCCTTAAAGAGGTACATAAGAATTTAAATGGGATTGAGAAGGTAAACTTGGAACAATACTTTGGAAGCAAAAAATACTTCTGGATTCAATTAAAAACATTTGATGCTGTGATGAGAGAATGGTACAGTGGATATTCTAAAAGAATGAGATCAAATGAACCGAGGAGTCTTCTTCATTCAAGCCTCTCTTGTGATCAATGATCCTTCCAACAAAACTCAGTAGCATTCTGCAATTAGTGGTACTGATACATGGCAACTGCTTTCCATGGATGTAATTGTTCCTGCTATTGAACCAACCAATACTTGATTAAACATTCTAAAATCCCGAATGAAAAAGGTTACTCATTGTAAGTTCACTTATTATAAACGTGTTATATCTGAAAAGGTGTTATAATAATACACATCAATGACAAATAGTTTTAGGTCAAAAGTTATCCAACATATAGCATCTCAACACAACACATTACTGGATAGCCTGGGTACCTGAAGCTAACAGTTGCTGTGAAACAAGATAATTACTCAAACAGTTGAAGACTGTTAATTGGGAATCTCTAATAAAGATGAAATAACCATATTAACAAAATTCATAAACAGTTTAAATTGCAGGACAGATAATCTTGATGTGAGAAATTATCTCCATTAACTTTGGCCTTTTTTAAAAGTTATTTTAGAAACCATGTGTATGATCACATTATTCCAGCACATAGGATATTGATATAGGATTATGTTTTGCATTGTGTTGTAAGGATTCAAGTTGAATTGCAAATAAGTAAGTTTGTTATTCAGAAACATATATATGTATATATATAGATATATATACACTATGATTCCTGTAGCATTACTTACAAGTGTGTAGGCACTCTGTCACTGTAGTTGGCTTGATAAGATAACCCTTGCAGACGTAACATGTGATGAAGGCATTGAATTCTCTCACTAGGTACTTCCTTTGTGTAGCCATTTTTGGACAAGGTAACAATGGAAGAAGAGGCAAGTCTAGCCCGAGTTGACAGGTGTCTCTGTGTTTATAGGTCCTGCTGTGCTGCACTGCACAGCTGCACTTGTCCAGGCATCTGTCTGAGAAATTTGGTGGAACAACTTTGAAGTAAATCCTCAACTTCTCCAGAAGCACATTGTCCTTTAGTCAAGGGTCATGGTTATCGTTTCCTGTTCCTCTGCGTTGTACAAAATGTCGCAAACCTGTAGCATTAACAAGACATAAGTATTAACAGTACAACAGATCTTGGTTGAAAAAATAACAATGCTATGATTGCCTGGGAATAAAATAAAATAAAATCCTTGGAATAATCACTCAAAATGCTCATTTGGAATTTTAACCGTTCCTGTTATAACTATAATTTTAAACATAAAATAGTATCTCAAAATAAAACTTTTATAACTATTTATAATCTACTGAACTAATGACAAGAATGAGCCCCGAAGTGCGGAGCATCTTTCACACACTCGAGTGACTATTTCAGCAATTGGCTTTACCAAATTCCTCAGCGCATTAAAACGTTGTTGATCATTTTCCCTAATTGTAAAGCGATGTTGTATATTTATAAGAAACTGTCAAGAGCCAGACTCAAAATAGTTTTTTTTCTATGATTCCGTCTCTTACACACATGGTTTATAGCACATGGTCCTAACTTTAGAATTGAACTATTTTCATGAATCTCGGTTTTGTTTTTGCAATTCACTTTGAAGTAACATCAAATATTGTTTGGGGAAAGCACATGTTTTCCAGAAATAGTCTGTGAAACACGATGAAATTAAATTATGCAGTCAAAATAACTTGAAAGAGAAGTCCACTCTCTGGGGAAATTTTAGGCAGGTTCAATCCTTATCATAGCCACAACAGCAAAGCAAAGACATCACGTTATCAAAGCCATTTTGGGCCATCTGAAAAAGTTTCTCACAACAGCATTTATTCTAACGTGCTTTTCGTAATTTAGTTCCATTTAAAATATTTCTTTAAAATAGTTAGCCACACCGGTTTGAACGATTGCATAACCGATCATTTCACACTCTGGTTTGACGAGCACATGGAAACATCACAGTCATTACTCTTAACACGTAGAAAGTCCTAACGGTATGCTCATAAAATGAGTGTAAAACAATTGATGGTTTAGTTTCAGAGATTGGATGTTTGGAAGCAAACGTTTCTGAAACGGTTCTCATGGGGAGAGGGGTGGTGTTGGGGGGGGGGGGGTTTCAGAATTTACGAGATGAATCAATTTGCAAACTAAACTGGAAATCCCTGTGCAGAGACAGACAGACAGACAGAGAGAGAGAGAGACAGGTGGATTTTACAGTAATGAATCCTCGCAAAATGCCTGTTCATATAACCTGCACTATCCCACAACTTCCACTGCCCACGTCCCTGACACGAGCTGCTACTTTTGTGGCCATCATCACGCAACGAGTGTTTAAAAAATCCTTCTGTGTTGGCGAGGATGGGATGGGGTGGGATGGGATGGGTGGTGATGGGGGGGGGGGAGGGGGGAAGGAAAGGAGGAGAGGGGGGGGGGGGGGGGTAAAGTAGGCCGTATCGCAACGCTTGGCAATGATCAGCTTTCGATTTCGCAGGCGTGTTCTTCTCCAACCCCCCCCCCCCAAAAAAAACCTCCACCCCCTCCCTCCCTGAACAGGAATTCATCATCAAATGGTGAAAGGCGAACACGTGGAGCTCTGTGTGTGTGTGTCTGTCAGTTTCACTTGCTGTTCTGCTCTGCAATGCACACGATGTGTGTGTGTGTGTTTGGTGGTGGGTGGGTGGGTGCGGGGGGGGTGGGCACAGGTGTGTGGTGTGAGTGCTGTGTGTGTGTGTGTGTGTTGTCTGATTATACACGGAACGCAACTGCACACTTACAGGAGGAGGAGGAGGAGAAGAAGAAGAAGAAGAAGAAGAAGAAGGAGAGAAAGCGGTTTCCTATTTGAGTTCGACAGTCCCAGCAAATACTGTGCCTTAAACACAATCAGCTGACACACTACGCAGTAAATTATCTGTGGGATCGCTGCTGAAAGTAGGCTGAGCCAGCAACACAGAAACTAAGTGCAATTTGGTCTTTTTTTTTTGTTGCTTCCCCCCCCCCTCCCCTTCTCCATCACAGCCCCCACCCCTCACTCCCTCCCTCCCTCCCTCCACACACACACACACACACACACAATTTGTGCTACGAGTGTGTGTTTATCTATATATACACACACACACTGCATTATTATTATTATTATTATTAATATTATTTGAAATCAACACATTTGCAAACCCCTCCTCTCCCACCCACTACCCCCTCCCTCTCTCTCTCTCTCTCCCCTTCCCCTCTCTCACCCCCTCCCCCCACCCCACACCTCCCCCCCCCCACTCTCCCTCTCCACCCAAATCCCCCCACTCTCCCTCTCCACCCAAATCCCTTCATTTTCTTAAGTACAGCTGTTCAAATTTAATGTATGTTTCACAGATCCAGAGACTGAAACGTTTTATTCTTAGTAGAAATAAACAGCTGCAAGTTATGGTTGTATCACGAACTGTTTATTTCTATTTCAACATTTGTCAATATGTATATTAAAAATATCCACATGGGAACAAATACTGTGTATAAGGCGTGTCATGTCTTTTATAGCTGAAACACATTATAAATTACATCATGAAGATATCACGTTTAGATTAGTTGGGATATGGAAGCTGTTCCGCGCTGCCAGAGTAAATATTATTAGAAACACCACCTCGTATTTCACCTCTCTAATTTAAACAACTTCCAACGCGAAATCTTGTCCACTAAATAACCAATAAGAAGTCCAGGTAATTTTGAATACATGCACATTTTTGGTTTGTTTTTCATGTTGAATACTGTGTCATTACCAGTGATGTGTTACTTGTCTGTATATCTGTTGAAATCCATTTAAATCCCAGTTCACAACCCTGAATGAAGTCAGTTATTACTCTGCAGAAGGTCAAGGTGGAATCAGAGCAGTGAAACCGAGTATTAAAGGGTTGCATTTATTAGAGTGTTGGAATATTAGCATTTATTCGAGGGTCACAATGTTGGTTAAAGCTGTCCATCGTCATACATTTAATCTTTCCGATATTAGCATTAGTTATCCATCAGCGGAGTCACGCCGACCGACAACCTCATCTTCAACAGGAAAGGGGAAAAAAAAGTGTGCGAGAAGAAAGTATAGGCGATCAATTGGGAAATATGATTTTGATGCGCGAATGAAAAATACCAAAAAAAAAGAATTTATTGTGCGATAAAAAGCACCGGAATGTGTTGGCACGGGGGGGGGGGGGGGGGCTTCAAGTTCAATTGCTGATTACAAGAGAAAATGATGGACAAATGATCTTGTGAAATGTATGTAAAACGAGGTCTGGTTTATCTTTCACGAATAGTCTACCCGAGGAGCTGCGAAACATCATCACTGGAGATATTATTATTATTATTGATTATTATATTTTTACGCGATGTTTGTATTGTGCTGTTTACCGGAACTTGCTTTAGTAAAGTCACAGTGCATACTCCATGTATGGTTATCTTTTCAAGGTGAATACCGAAGTGCTGATGCTCTTACCTTCTGATCAATAGTTCCCAACATTATGACCCAACTGGCTATGACTACATCATGTACCGGCAGCACTATTGGAATGGCACTGAAATCAGAAACGGTTTCATCATCAGAGATCAAACGAATACAGATGAAGTCATCCACAAATTTCGTCGCTTGACCAATACAATTTGTCCTCAAACGTTGAAACGTCCTCTTCTTGGTCGCCCCAGTCTCACAACACTCTTATAATTAAAACAGAAACGTAAACTGACATCCAATCGATGCCCTGTTTGGGTTTGTTGCTCAAGGTACATTGCAGAGTTAGTGCATTTGACATGCTCTTGTTTCTCCGAAGTCCTGTGAGGGGTAGAAAAAAATAAACCTTGTGGAATCCAGGAAGACAGCTGTCATGCAAAACGTGAGGTGGCAACATGATTAGCATAGTTGGCCTATTCAGTCAGTCCTAATAGCACATGGGTCGGATTTCAAATGTTTCATATATGTAGTTTTGTCTGACCAGAGGCGCCTTTCGTCCTTGTTTAAAAAGATCTCGTGGCATGAGATCACGCCTACCAATATGCCCGGAATGACAAGGAAGCTCTCGCTGACCCAGCCATGGACGAGCGCCCAGGTTGGAACATGACCTCATGCAGTTGGAGCAGTTACATATAAGACGCGTTGAAGTTGTGTCTCATCAGAAGTTGAGTTGACTGTTTGGGGAGTTCAGCTGTGAACAAGGAGGACTAACACGGTAACAAAGCACCGACAACATGGTGATGCTTCGAGTGGAAGATCTGGTAAGGAACCATGATTTAATGAACTCCAATTACAAAACCTTCCAAATGTTCAGTTAGACGTGGATTATGGATGGTGTTGTATTTACTTTTCTGCCAACAGTAAAAAAAAACGTAAACAGCTGTATTATGGCTTAATCAGTTAAGGAAATACAATACGTTCTGACGAAATATTTGAAGATGTATATATTAATAAAGCAGCCGAAATATTTCTAATAACTAAACAATAGTTGAAGTTATGACAATCTATGAAACCATATTTGAGCAAGGATTATTAACAGTCCAATATTATTTCGCCGTTGGTTGTATTTATACCAGCAAGTGAAATGCATTTGACAATTTAGTGTTCAGCAAACTGTTCAAGTGAATTTACAGATTTATAATGATGAAGTTTGACAATCAATGAGACTGAATTTAAAGATATTCCCTCCTCGCCTGCATAACTGTGCCAGCGTTGGTGTATTGGATGCATAATAAATCAACACAAAGGAAACGCTTAAAACAAAGCTTTCAAGTATCGTATCTTTATCGCAGACTTGAACTTTTTTTTAACTGCTATCACTGTAAACGTAAACGTATCCTGTATACGACAAATTCCTCATTGAAAAAAAAAGCCCTTTAACTTGACCAAAAGGAGGTGATGAGTCATTCCCTCCGGTATGCTGGTATATATTTCTGGCTGCATTGCTCTCCACGCGAATTAGTGATCGTTGATGTTATGTCTGCATCAGGTAACTGGAAAGCAGAGCGAGGCCAAGCCTAAGGAGGATGAGACTGGTCGGCGTCTGCTGCACGACCAATTTGGAACAGGAGAATATTCTGCTGCTGTGGCTATCGAGAAACAGGATGACATCAAAACCCAGACTGGGATTCTTTCCTGCAGACCTCTCAGCGAGCCCCCAAAGAAAATACAACCGCAATCCCAGAATAAAAAAGTAAGGTCCACTGTGACTGAGGAGCTTTACAGTCCGCAGTCATATTCACTGAGCAAAGTTGTACTTCTGGGTTAAATTACAGGTATTGTTGTCCGTATCCGACAGTCAGTTTAGTTCAACAGAATCTGTGAAGTAGTAACATTCAAAAGTATAATTTACATTGTTTGGATGATGCTGATAAATAATATTTGCCTTTGGTTGTAGCCTCTTTACATCGCAAAACACTTTGTAACTATTGTTATGTAGGAAAAGGGCAGCAGATATATATCAGTTTCACTATCGGCGATAGATGAAAGACAAATTGTCCCCCTTTCCATGTATTCCATTTAGTCTGACTTCGTGAATTGATTATCAGTGTTGGTTTTATTATTACCAGACAACGCCAGTGGAACAGAAACTAAAGCTTGAAACTATAGACGATCTTCAATTCTTGATTAAACTGAAAAAGAAGAAGAGAGCTAAAGTTGCTGTGAATACTTTAAAAGAACCGGAACCAGAAATTATAGTAAGTTTAAAAAAAGCAAGTACAACAACAACGATGATTAAATAAAGAGCCCTAATTTGATTTTTAAAACGTATCATGCTTTCTATCTCAGACTGAACCTGTAGATATCGAATCGTTTCTGAAGGCTGCAGTTGACAATAAACTACCTGTGATTGAGAAATACCTGGCGGATGGTGGCGATCCAAATGTTTGTGACCAGGTATGCATCACTAATTGATCAAATGTATTTATTTCAAAATAAATGTGACTGATCAAATGAAATAAACGATCTGCAACTTTTTTTTTAAATAACAGTTTAACAGGACCGCAATGCACCGAGCGTGTTCAGAGGGACACGAAGAGGTTGTATCCAAACTCCTGGAAGTCGGAGCCTTAGTTGAATTTCGAGACAAGGTACCTATCATTAATTTAGCTGCATCTTTCGACTTTAGAATTGGTCAGATTCTAACAAATAAAAGTGAATGCAAAAGTCGTGCACTCAAAAATAACAAGTTTGTGTCCAAAACATATCAAACTATGAAGACATAATTAAAGGGAATTTGTGTAAAGCTTCAAAATCGTTTTGCAATAGGGATAGAAAAAGGGAGAAGATCGTAACGTAACAGTGATGGTGACAGGACTCACGTCTTAGCACCTTTAACAACACCAAAAAAAAACTTTGTTTCATAAAGACAGTGTCCTTGGAATTTATATTTTGCAAAGATTTCATTGTCCATCATGAAACTTCACTCTTTCCTCCTGTAGCTTTGTGCAACTGCAATTCATTGGGCATCTCGTGGAGGCAGCTTGGGCGCTCTGAAAATGTTGTTAAACAAGAATGCAAATGTAAATGCCAAAGACAAGGTAGGTAGTTCGTTATATACCTGAATATATTCCCAATACATGTTCGTGCTTCAATTTATTTGATAACACCCACCTGTTTTGTTTTGATAGTTATGGAGTACTCCTTTACATGTTGCTGTCAGAACTGGAAATTATGAGTGTGCTGAACACCTTATCGCATGCGGAGTAGATTTGAATGCCAGAGATATGGTATGTATCCGTTCATGTCTAAAGCAGATTGACAAAACTGTTTTATACTTAAACTGGATTTATTTCCTATAGTAGTTAATATACAGTTAGACTGTTTTATAAGGCTGTAAACAAATTGACAAGATCTTATGAACTTCAGTGGGGTATTGGGTGGGTTAGAACAAAGCTGTCATCTCAAAAACAGGACTCAAAGGCTACCCCATCTTCTCATTTGATATTAAATGAGTTTGAATAGTATAAGAACTTCTAGAGCAAGAGCTCGCACAACAATCTCTAATTCAGTACTGTGTTAGTAATATAAAAAGCACTAAATTGGTAATGAACGGGGCATTAATCTTGTAAAGAAGCCAAAATAATAGGAAAAGGTACATGTATCTGCTCCAAAGGGAGTGCCTGATTTTTGGGTAGAGCATGCTTTTAAGACAATTAGAAGGTGTTTTGCCCCACTCACTATGTTATACTTAATCTTGGAGTTCCTGTGTTCTCCCAATCAGTTATTTGAGACATCCTTCTGCTATGAAAGTGTTATATAACAATAGAATTACATTTATAGTGCACCTTGTTATGAGCCAAACATTGTCAGTGCTAATTTTGAATAAATATAAAATATTCAGCCCTGTTATATTGCTTAGTTTTGACTTATATGGTAACCTTTTTCTTCCAAATTTGATATCATGAAGGAGGGGGACACAGCCATGCATGACGCCGTCAGACTGAACCGTTACAGAATGATGAAGCTTTTAATGATTTATGGAGCCAACCCGAATTTAAAAAACTTTGTAAGTTCAATGCACTACAAGCGATTTCACTTGTAAATTCCGAACATTTCACTTGTAAATCCCCGAATAAGAATGCAAATAATGTTTATTGTACTATTCATTTAAAAAAAATCAATATAGCATCAATTATATATTTTAATTGGGCGAGAATTAATGAGAATTTATGCAGCAAAACCATCCAACTAATTCGAATAACCATGTAATAAATTCTGAACATATATAATGATCACAGGCAATGTGTCAACATTTTAAAGCTTTCAAATTATCCTGGTTGCTAAAATCCAAAAATAAAATGCTAATTATTTCAGGTGCCAAATAAGCTGTACTGCTGGTAAAGATTTCTCATTATGTTACAGTAGTCTTTCATTGTATGAAATATAAATAAATGAATGTTATCTGAATTACAGGATGGGAAGACACCGATTGATCTTGTACTGCAGTGGCAAACTGGTACAAAGGAAATACTTGAACAATTCGTGGAAAGCTCACTCAAATCAAACTAACATTTCCTGCAACAGCAAAGAGAAAATAATCAATCACCAAAGGATGCCAGGCGCGTTCTCCTGATGTAACAATTTGTAAGAACATTGACACTGGCACAGCATGTGTGCTTCATTAGAATTTTCTTCAAAACTGAGATGTGAAAATGTAATAATGTATTGCAATCGCTTGGATTAATGGCTTTTTTAAGCAACATAATGAAAAGGACTGTGAGAACTGGAAAGCTGAGATTGTTTTAATGGACATTATGGTCCTTATTGACTCTTTGATTGTCAATGACAAGATTTACTCTGGAAATCTGTATGTTTAAATGAATAGCGCTGGGACATCAAGTTGAAAGTTGGAGCAAGGATGAGATTTTGGGGACAAACAATATCTAGGAGGGATACAAACAAAAAAAATTATAAGTTCTACTTTACTTTGGTTAATTAGTAAAAACACATCAAAATCTGTTTGTAATCATTCCTTTCTGTGTATATTGTGCTGGAGGTACAAGTATAAGCATTCAATTATAAAGACTGATGGATTTAAAATGGAAATGTTGAAAGAACTGAAGGTATGGGTAGGTACTGTATGTTGAGTCATTAATCCTAAAATATGAGCCCAAAGTAGAATCAACTGATTATCACAATGTAAAATTTGTATATTTATAATGTAATTTTTAAATTTGTAAATTTTGTACACCTAATTATTGTATTCTATTATTTATCTGCAATTAAATAAAGATCAAGGCTCCTTTTACAATGGGGGGGGCTTGTTCCTGAGGTTTAGTTATTTTTTTTATTTGATTACAGCATTGAATAATTGGAAAGCAGAAAATTGTAGATAGGACAGATGTCTCACCAATTTCACTTTGGTGATTGCTTAGAACACAAAGAGTTGGGGAATTTGTATTGGGATAGTTAGTACTTGCAATTTTGGGTTTCCAAAACCCCACAAACTAGAACAGACATTCTTGCTGGAGCTAACAATTCAAGCTGGAGAAGAAATCCAATAATAAAGAATTTCAAATTCAAACCGACCCAACTGGTCAGGAATGTTAATCATTGCGTTTAATCATATGCATTTAGTTATAAATGATCAATTCTGTATTTATTCTGTAAAACATGATACGTTTGCACAAATTAAATTCAATGTTTTAAAAACAAATTCTTCATTTATCAATCTTTGCAGTAAATGAAACCAGAATTACTGAAGTTGTTTCATCAATAATATTTGCATTCACATTTATTTATGAAATGTGTACAGTACTTTTCTGAATTTACATCAAATTATCAATAAAAATGTGTTTCCTATTCTCAGTCATCTTGGGTTTTGGCTCGCTTGCACAAAGGTCTCCCTTCTTCCTGGTCTTCATTTGTTTGAGCTTTCTGCATTGTGTAGATCACACCCAGGGCAGTCTTTCTGGTTTCTGAAGTGATAGAAACATTTATGTTTGGTATTTAAATCAAAAATAGCACAAGAAATGCATGAAGTTTTAACCGTATGTAAAAATAATTGATTTGAAAAAATCACAATCAGGTATACCTTAAGCTCGATGTACTTTGTGAAAAAAAGTCTCAACGCTAAAATCCAAAAACAATATTTTTGGTGTTTTGTTGAAGCTGGGACTTTTTAATGGTTTAGTTTTAGTTTAGTTGAATGTAAAATGCTTGCATATTTGCTAGGATTGGAGAGGTTTTAAGAGTCTAATTTGTTCCACTATTATGCTGTTGAGAAGCACTTGGTTACACAGGCTTTGTTGACAGCTTCATATTGATTAGAATCCCTCGTTATCAATCCCGGAAGGTAGACTTGAACTAATTGTGAAGAATTGCAGAGGTGGTCTCACATATTAGAGCAATACAGCCTTCTATTTTGTTTCTAAATACATAGACTATAATTTATCATCTTTCACAATTGAATCCTCCCTTTAAAAAAATTGTAACACCTGGAATATATTAGTTCCTTTCGAATTTCTAAACTGGATTTGATTCCATTTTCTTGATCACTTTTGTTCCGACTTGAAGATCCTCACACTCGTGTTCAAATCCCTTCACTCTCTTGACACCTCTCCGACCTCCTCACTCCCCAAACCCCACCTCGACTGGTACCGGCCTCCTGCTCGTCCCTCGCACCCTCCACTCCACCATCGGAGGTCACGCTTTCAGCTACTACGTCCCGCACCTCCAGAACACTCTCCCTCAATCCCTCTGCCTTGCCCCTCTCTCCTCTCTTTCGAGTGCCACCTGAAGACTTTCCTCTTCCTCTTCAACTGTGCTTACTCCCACTGCTCGGAGTCAGGCTCTGCCACTGTGAGACGCTTCCTTGCATGGAGGATGCTATATAAGTGCAAAATGTTAAAACTGTCAAATCCTAAGCAAGCTGCTTTGGTTTCTAAATTGTATTGCTTACCTCCATGCAGAAGTGCTGCTCTGCAGTTGGTTGACACAGCAGCTTTGGCATCTCCTTCAGAAAGCCCCAAAAGTAGACCACTTGTAACATCTCAGTCAAGGACTTGAACAGTAAACCTACAGAGGGCTCCTTATTTGTGTAAATAGCTTTTACCATGATTGAGTTGTAAAGGTGAGAGTGGGGGGGGTGGCGGAGTGACCAAAATTACACTTGGTTACGATATTTAACAATCTGTTCGATGAATATTCCCTCCACATTTTGTACAGCTAGAGGATAATATTTTGAACCATTAATAAAAGAGACCCACGTCTTCTCCTTCATTCAATGCTGCATAAATTTTCATTTTCTTAAAAAGGTAAATCACAGATAAAGCATTTAAAAATAAATTTTAGTTCATTTGAAACTAGTTTGCATCAAATATTTTGGGCAAGGATACAGATTAGCAAGATCATAAGGTCCTCTTAGTTCCATAGGCTACAGAGAGAAAAAAATACATTTATTTGTACATTCTATTATACTTTTTTTTCCTACAGCAAAGACACAACTGTCTGGATCTACCTGGATCCGATACACATAATCTGCATTGGATTTGACCACCCACGCCCCCAGGTTTCCAATTTTCACTGCTATTACATTGGCTCTCATAGGAGATTGAAATGTTACTTTAATATACAAACATTTACCATAAGTTAAGCAATATAAATACCATATTAGATTGAAACAGTGATCATACATTGCATCACTACATTATACTTCTCCCACGGTTTTCAAATACCAATAATAATTTATTTATTTATAAATTCAGCACTAGCTTACCATTGACTTCAATTACTTATAATAAATATTTTCTACTTTGAATATAGTTTACGGATGCATTTCAAAAATTACCTAGTTTATTCAGTTGCAATCGGCTATCCCAAATAGGATTACAAATTATCCCAAATTACAAATTATCACAGATCCACAGGGATAGAAGTTATTACAAGTAAAGTTGAATTGTAATGCTCAAAATAAACAATTGAAAACATATATTGGACTACATTAATAAAAGTCTTACCCTTTCTGCCGCACTCGACATGATTACATTCTAAAGGAACACAAACAAAAACATTAAATTGTTAAAAATTTAAACATGCCATGATTGTTTTGACTTTAAGACTGAAGAAATGAACCAGTTTTTTTTAGAAAAATAATCCTGTACATTTTACAAACTTCCACTATTGTTTTGAGTTTATGGCATCAGTTTTGATGTACGGCATGCATTTCAGAACAGAATTACACTATTGTATTGATTTTAGTATCAACAAACTTCAGCATCTTACTACAAACTTACATAATGTTAAACATTCATCTCAAAACCAATGTAAGAAACTTCAGTTAAACCCCAGGGAATTATACACCAAAAAAATAAAAACATATAAGCAAAAAATGGAAATTATGAAAACAAAAAATGATGCTTCATCTGCAAGTTAAAAAGCATTTTTAAAAAAAAAACAATTTAAATATAGGATAAAACTATTGTAGCTTCTTTAGAAAGATATGGCGGGCAGTTTTCATGAATTTTGGATTATATAGCATAATTATTTATATTTATGTCGCACATTTTTATATTTATCTAGGAACCATGCCCCCTGTTCTCTTCTTGTCACTCTCTATGCTGCCTCTGGAGGCAGCTCATACCTCTTACGGGTGGTTATGAGGCAGTTCGGCCAAGTTATATGATATTATGTGCCTATGCAAAGTGAAAAGCATTCTGTGCACATTCACAGATGCGTAATTGTATAATTCCCTGGGATAGATTCAGTACATAAATTTGCAGTATCATGAATTCTTGCGCTCACCTTTCCTTTACAAATTTGCATCAGGCTGAGTGCATTTGAAATGGTATACCTTCTCATTGTGGAATCCTTTATTGCAGGAGAATACGCAAGTTCAAAGTAAATTCCTCTGTCAATAGCCTAAAACAATGTAAGAAAATATTAAGTTATTGCTGACCAATTTTATATTAACTTAAGGTAAGATACAAATCTCATTTGCATCAAAGCAAATTGTATTAAAAGAGGGTTAAGATAAGGATAAATGCAGCTACAGATGTTAAACTTTCATTCCGCAAGAATAACAGCATGCATTTTGATGCTGGATTGAGAAAATGCACACAATCTACTTTTATGCTGAATTACAAATTTTATAGCAAACCCAACAAGCCAAGAAAGCAAAGTTACTTGTTGCATAATGACATGAAAGTGGCAGTTTATATTGAAAAGAATTGGAAACCTTTAAACAATTTTTAAACTTTCATTATGTTTGTACTCATCTTACTGGACAAACAATGAATAAAAAAGGCTGTAATGTTGAAACAACAGGACTGAATGTGTACAAGACAACTGCATTAAAATATCTCCTGTTTTAGCACAAATTCTCTTATAGTGCTGTAATCCTATGGAGTTGTCTAATAAGAGCCCTTCAAATACTCATGTTATCATATATTAAGTTTAACATTTCTCACGGGTCTTCACTTATGAAATGCAAGAAAGTAAATAAATGTTTGCAGAGATGTAAATTTAAAAGTGAATGTAAATCATTATTATAAATAATAGAGAATTTGGTTACAGTATTTTCTGCACCAATGGCGCCCTCTAAAGGAATTTCCTGTAGTTTCTCCATCCAGCTCACTTTTTGATGACACTTGTCTATAATCTGGGATTTCCTCCCGCAATAGAGAACAGTTAAATTATTTAAAAACTAGATTAGTCTATGGCAAAAAACTTGGTACACATTTGCAATTCGCCTTCCAGAGCAAATATGAGCAAAATATCAGTCCAACTGTATATCAGTTAAAACTGGGATACAAATTTCCACCTCATTTCACATCCATGCTAGGTCAGAGGCAGATTCTAAAAATGTTACAAGAGAGACAGAATTAAAGTTTTTTTTTAAAAAAACCTTTCTACATTCTTCCCATTTTCTCCAATTTTGTTGATGGATATTTTAAAACATATTCGTAATCGTGTCTTTCAATTGACTTGATTCTGTGCTGCATTTAACTAAATAATCGGAATAATAGAAGTACTCAATTACACTAGATAAAAAGAAATTTATGGGGATAAACTGGGTCAAGATTTACTCCATTTATGTAGTGTTCTGACATGCTACCAAATCTAGACTCAGGTGCAATTTATTCCCAAAAGCCTTATTTGTAAATCCATTCCAATTGAAAACATCACATCTTTTTACGTTCTGCATTCAGTCCTTTTTGTTTCTCAATATAAATTATATATTCTGAAAATTTCAGCACAAAAATCACCATATACCTTAATATAACTTCAGTAGCCATTTGTGGTAATGAATGTCAAAGCCTAACAACCCTTATAGTGAAGAAATTATACTATTATATGATTATACCATAAAAAATTATTTTGGAATCAAAATATACTGTAGCTCTTACCGCATTAATAGAAGGTCGTTTGAAATGGTATGGCTGTTTTTCGGTCACATGAATACAAATTAAGTCAATATCTAATGTCATGGAAGCTATCTGTTAAGAAAAAGTGTATTAAAAAATTCAATGTTCTGGACACATAATTTATATTTATTTAAAGAATTATTATTTTGGCAATTCTGCTAATACCCTGAAGCTCAGCTTTCAGTATATTGTATCACAGCTCCAAATAATGACACTATTCGCAAAGCATTGGTCATCTTCATTTCCCCCAAACAACTATAACTACACAAAACAATGCAGAATCTGCAAACATTTGCATGATCTACAATCACCTGGTGTGGCATATGTTGGGCATGGCACTAAAACATTCATTCATATAGCGTATCCCAAATTAATACAACTGCCTTTTAGAAAACAAGCTTATGCAATTGCAAATTGCAGTTAAAAAATTATCAGATTTTCTACAAATGCACATACTTGAGTGTATTTTACAGAGTTTAGAAAATCGATCCAGGATACTGCATAAACTTTTTTTTAAAAATGTTGCTCACACACATAAGTTGCAAATCCTGGACTTTTAGTGGTCTTATTTGTCCAGTACTAACAACGAGTATTCTGTTCAGCACGGTTTCTAAAATATACAAATTTACTTACATGAAACAGTTTTTCTGTTTTGGGTAATACAGCCATAATGTCATATAATCTTGCATGTTTAGAGGTGGTTCTCTGCAATGTAATAATTAAATTTCAATTGTCTATCTTTTTCTTTACTTAAATATGATTTATAAATGCATCCATCCTTTATAGCAACATCCCTCCTTTATATATAACACAATTGTTACAAATATCGGGTTATTCCCGTAAAAGATACCGAGTTCCTAAATAAGCATCAAAATCTGTTTTCAATACACATTCAAATAATCATTCATCAAATAATAGGTGGAATAAAAAAGACTTTAATCCAATTGCTAAAACTGTAGTTATAATAATTCTTGTATTTGATATAGCGCCTAATCATGTCTTCGTGACGTCTCAAAGCATTTCACAGAAAATGCTGTAAAGTAAAATGACTGAATATTTGTGGGCGAAATGCGGCAGCCAATTGCGCACAGTAGTATCCCACAAACAGTTGTGGATTGAAAATGACCAATTTATTATTGTTTTGTTGGGATTATTATTAGGCATGTGGTGTAAGGAAACTTGCCCAAGGTTTCGCCCTGCCTAGAATACATGTTATGTATAATACTTACCAGGTCATTGCAGTGAGCTGCTTCAGAGACAATCACCGTAAGTCTTGTCACTATTTTAATTGGTTTTGATGTACCCTAAGCGAGATTAAAAAAACATTTTTTTCTATTATATATTTTAACTTTTACTGTAAACTTTACTTTAGATTGAAATCACTTTTGTCTCTGCTGTAATTCTTGAAATAATTATGTCAAAGTGGAGTTGTGAGATCAAACAAAAAGCATTTACGCTTGATTGGTTCAAATTATTCGTAACCTTTTAGCTGTTGCTACAGAGAAACTAGCACCCTAAAGTACATTTTGACAGTCCATTTACAATGGGAATACTGAATTACTAAAGGTCAAAAATAAGTATGCTCAACTCCATTCATTATTCTTTTATTCTCAGAAAGCAACAATGTAATTTGAACAATTCTCCAGGTGTTAAGAATTTGGAAGGAGCAGTCACATTAAAAAAACAACTTACCCAGACTAATTAGCTTTTATTTGGTAACCAAGTTTAGGATTATGATAAACTGATTTCTCAGAGGTTAGCTAAATCCTCAAATCTGGCATCAACAATAGTGTAATTGCACTAAGATAGAGTAGTCTCACTTTATGTACTTTCTTCCACCAACAGTGGACTCTTGAAATTTATGATGAGATGCTGGCAGATTGGTTGGGCAGGTGAAGTGTGAAGAATATTCACTTTCAAATATGAAAAACAAGAACCTGTGTGATGTATGTAAATTATTTTTTTCTGGTATTTTAAGCATGCAATCAGTACTGACAATGGGTACTCTTTCTAAAGTATTTTTTCCAGACATTATTAATGTGATACTGTGCTGTGTCACATTGATAATGTCTGATAATGTCTAATAACAATGTTATGCAAAGAATATTTTTGCATAAAACTTAAAACAATGCTAGACAGATTTTATTTCAACAATTTTCAGACATTTAACACCGATATATTGATGGAGGAGGACATCCACGATAATCCATAATTATCACACCAAATTCAAATATATGAAGAAAGAGCTTACTTTTTTTAATACATTTGATTTACATGTGGAATGAAATTTTAGGATGTAAATATTTCATAAGGTTAATTCAGAGAAATTCAGAAAATCAGAGTAAATATAGAACCAAGTGGAATTTCTCCCCAATAGTTGCTTAAAACATTGCACAATTAAAAATCACATACTGTGTTAGACCTCATTAGAGTACTTACCTGCACAATTGGCAGAGATGTAAAAAGTTCTTTTACAGATATTGGTTTGTCAATTTCCTGGAAAAAAGTTGGCAAAAAAATGACAAAAAAAATGGTCAAAATCTGTTGAGAATTGAAATAATGATCTTAGATTCAAAGTTAGAGATATTAATAAAGTTTCCATACCCGCCTTTTTTGTTGCAGATCTGCCACATGATTGATAGCAATGGTTGAATAACCAACTGAGGAATGGAACAGCAAAAAGAAAATAATTGTTTATTCTATAGTAGGGTATTGTAATAAGTAAATCCTGTAACATGCTCATTTGTTTACTCTTTATCGATTCACCACATGGAATTTTATTTCACAAAACAAGAATTTGATCATATATTATTAAACAGGAAGCTTGTCAGATGGTGATTTCAATGGCAAACTGTAGTTTTACTTGATTTTAATTGGTTAGAGCACTCGCTTTGCAAGTGAGAGACCTGGGTTCAATTCCAGGCAGGTCAGGGCGAAACTTTGGGCAAGTTTCCTTACTCCACACAGAGCCTAATAATAATCCCTCCAAAACCAAAAACAATAATAAATTGGTCATTTTCAATCTACGACTGACTGTGGGACATTGCTGTGCGCAATTGGCTGCCGCGTTCGCCCACAAATATACAGTCAATTCACTTTACAGTGTGTTCTGTGAAGCACTTTGGGACGTCCTCCCGACGTGAAAAGCGCTATATCAAATTACAAGGATTATTATCATTATTATTATTTTAACTCCAGCAGTATCCCAATATACACTCGGAGTCCCCAAACCTGGACTCTCGCCAACTTGCTCCTGGAACTAGAATAATAATAAGCCTTACATTTGATGTAGCACCTGAACGCGTCTTCTCGACGTCTCAAAAGCGCTTCACAGAACATGGCCGCACAGTGAATCGACTGCAACACCTTGTGGGCGAAAGGCTACAGCAGTGTCCCCCACACACACACACACAGCCGTGGATTGAGTGACCGCATTTATTTTTTTTAAAAAAAGGGAATATTCCCCTCTGGAATTAGGTAATACTCAGGAATACATCGGGGACAGGGAGAGCGCGTGCAGTCTCTCGGGCCCCACTGGCGTGTAGGCCCCCGGTGATGGGTCTCCGCGTGTTGTCAAGGCACCCGACTGCCCGAAATCACATCAAGTGTAAACCGACTCATACTCACGACGGGCTGCGGTTTCTATTATACTTTGCAACCTCTTTTTCTCGGTGGTATTTAACACGTTTAAATCTACGAACGGCGCCATGCCCCGCTTCGCAGGGGGCAACGGCAGGAAGCGGCCACGGCGATCGAACTACAACTCCCACAAGGTCGAAACTGGGGGGAGGGGGCAGAGCGGAGGCAGATCTCTCCTCTCGGCTGCACCCGGGTCTCCGGTTTTAAAATGAAAAGCGCCGCCGAAGAGCAGAAACTCTCGCCGCTGCTCCGTTGTCGTCGTCGTTCCCCCCCCCACCTCCTGCCGACATCCGGGGGAACTACATTTCCCAGAATCCAGTGCGACGAGCACGCAGCCAGCCCGTCGCAGGGATTTGTTTCGCTCTGTCCCAGGCGCTGTCGGGTTGGTTTGTAGCTCTTGTTCTCTTTCGACGTGGTTCTTGTCTGTCTCTTTCTTTTTTTCCCCCGCGGCGGCGGCGGCGGTGTTGTTGTTGCCTCCCGAACACGACGGCGGCGGCGGCGGCGGAGAGGAACCCTGTGACCGGAGTCGCCTGGCGACCGCCCATGATGCTGTGCGCCGGCGCTCGCTCTGATTGGTGGATTTTGAAAAATAGGAGCGCGAGCGCGGTCACTGACGGTTGGATCAACGGGTGTGTCGCCGGTGATGGAGTCCGGGCTCCGTGCGGCCCCTTGAACAGACCACCTGTAACCGAGCGGCCTCCTCCGCGTGTCAGGAACAGCTTAACGAGGTGCCCCCGGACCGACCCGAGCCGACCCATCAACACCCTTCGCTTCCACTCCCGGGGGCTCGATGTACTATTTGGACCGAGCCGACATTTCGTGGAGCATCCGGTGCACAACGTTGTAAAGAGGCGAGTACTTACATTTAATATACATTTAATATTCAATTCACCGCACGTAAAATATTACACGCCGAAAATATTCCCCAAACAGATTGTAGGCCAAGATGTGTGTGTGTGTCAGTTGGGAACAAATGCTTCAGGTTCCAGATATTATTTCCTTTTGGGTTGGTTGGAAAGGCCTAACGTCACTGCCTTCATGACAATCATCATCATCATCACAATAATAATAATAATAATAATCCTTCTACAGTGTTTGGTGTAGCGCCGTTCAGGTCAGAGGGGATTGCCTCAAATCAGGCGCTTCGCGGGGGTTAGTAACGACTGTAAACCGGAGACGCTGTTATTGGTTTTGGGGGCGCAGCAACGTCCCAGACACGGGCATGAAAACGAGTGACCAGTTTTATTGTGAGATTGTTGGCTTGAAGTTTTCGAATAGCGCCGTTGGGGATCTTTTAGCGTCTACCACACATCCACTTGTGGAGTCCTGTAGCTCAGTGGTTAGAGCACGAGAGACCTGAGTTCAATTCCAGGCAGAGGGCGAAAACTTGGGCAAGTTTCCTTACTCCACACAGAGCCTAATAATAATCCCTCCAAAAAAAACAAAAACAATAATAAAATTGGTCATTTTCAATCTACGACTGTTTGTGGGACATTGCTGTGCGCAATTGGCTGCCGCGTTCGCCCACAAATATACAGTCAATTCACTTTACAGTGTGTTCTGTGAAGCGCTTTGGGACGTCCTCCCGACGTGAAAAGCGCTATATCAAATGCAAGGATTATTATTATTATTATTAACAGGCAGATACGGACCTCGCTTTCAAATCTGATCTTCGGCACTCCAGCGACGAGTGTCGCTCCAGACTAGAGGCTCAAGATCCCAAACGTGAGGCTTCGACCCAACAACTTTCTGATTCAGGCACAAGAGTGTTGGTCACCGAAACGACCGGACAGACACTTTATTGCGTTTTTGTGGCCTGGTTGCACCTGCAGTGGATTTCTAAGCAAAGATGCATTTCTGCATGTAATTTTCAAATGTTAATAATTGTCAAAGTTGTTTTTTAATATCTACCAGAATGGAGCCAGTACAGAATGCAGAATTCACTGAACTGTACAGAAATGGAAGTGATGGAGCCGAAATGGCTTCCAGTGAATGTTTTGAGGACATCAGAAAGGATCTGGACCGTGAACTTAGCAGAGAAGAAAATTCGAGTTCATCGCAAGCGGTCAGTGGATGCAACAATTTGGACTTTTCCTTTTCTAGTTGAAAGTTTTCTAATTATTCATGTGTTTGCAATTATTTATATGTATACTTTACAGGTTCTCCAGCAACCCAGTTTGATTTCGAAGAAACATATGCTTGTTTACCTTCGTATTCGACCTTTCACTGAAACTGAAATAGCACAACATGAATCTCAGGTCAGTGAGCTTGCTCTTTAATGAAAAGTAAACATCTTTAACTAGTGAGAATTGCATTATCACTCACATTCACTTTCACTCTAGGATTGTATTGCAATAGAAAACCCAACTAGTGTGATTCTGAAAGCTCCCAGAAATTCCATGAGTTCTCGATGTAATGATCGAGGAATCGGCCAGGTGGCTCAGCGGTTTACATTTTCTCATGTAAGTAAGAAATGTTCTCACCATGTCAAGTAGTTTATATTATTGTTTAATGTTTATTTCATGATGAGGATTAATTGGTACTGTTTTAATCAAGACTTTATAGCTAATCCTACTATTGTGTACCGTTGTAAAATATTGCATAATATGGTCATCTTAACTTGACGCATAAATATTCTATCTGATTGCCAACAAACAGGACAGTGGAGTAGGCTTAAATAACTGACCAAGAGAAGGATAGTTGAAATAGTACGTTTTATGCATCTTTGGTGATGTGTATTGTTGCTATCACTCATCTCGGGTTGGTTTGGGTGGACTCTGTTTCCAAGCCTTGTAGTATGGAATAATCAGAATAGTGAGCCTGGTATTTCAGTACAGACTGAACTTCCATTGATTTTGCAACTTTTGGTATACAGGAGTTCAGAGCCAGGAAGAAGATATTGTTTGGAACGCACATTAAATGCAATCTGTGGAGTCCTGTAGCTCAGTGTGGAGTCCTGTAGCTCAATGGTTAGAGCACTCGCTTTGCAAGTGAGAGACCCGAGTTCAATTCCAGGCAGGGTGAAACCTTGGGCAAGTTTCCTTACTCCACACGCCTAATAATAAACCCTCCAAAAACCCAAAACAATAATAAATTGGTCATTTTCTATCTACGACTGTTTGTGGGACATTGCTGTGCGTAATTGGCTGCCGCCTCCGCCCACAAATATACAGTCAATTCACTTTACAGTGTGTTCTGTGAAACGCTTTGGGAAGTCCTCCCGACGTGAAAAGCGCTATATCAAATGCAAGGATTATTATTATTATCTTTCAAGCATTTGTGAGCTATCCAATGCAAATGGTTTGACTCAAGTGAATTATATTTATCACTATGTGAGTAAACGTAAGTTTGGTGGAATAGATTCTCTGACAATGGGCCAAGAATAATGGCTATTTTTCTTCTATTTCTCTCTTTTGAACTCTCGGGCAAGGTCAAATATCACACTTGAATGAATAATGGCTACTTTACTTATTGGGAATAAGATCATTTTATTACATATATGACTCCCTTTCACTTCAACCGCATCTTAGGTTTTTGGACCAGAGACTAAACAGAAAGAAATATTTGATGGAACAGTAAAACCACTCATTGAGGAAGTTATGAATAGACAAAAGTGTTTGGTTTTTACGTATGGTGTTACCAATGCAGGGAAAACCTACACATTTCAAGGTTTGAACTTTATTTTGAAGAGAACAGTTTTAATAGAAAAATTGTTCTAACTTATCAAGCCAGTGACTATTGTATTGGAACAATTCTCTTTGTTTTAGGTCCAGACCATGATGTTGGTATCTTGCCACGGACCATGTGTGTTTTGTTCAACAGTATCCAAGGAAAAATGTATCAAAAAATGAACATTAAACCGCAGAGATCCATTGATTTTTGCAAATTAACAGAAACTCAAGTAAAAGAAGAGGCGATTCATAAAAACTCAGTACTTCACCATTTCAGAGAAGTAAATTAATTTAAAATTATTCTTGTTTTTTATGCTAATACCTGCTTCAATTAAATGTCCTGTATTAGGATTGGCTTAATTTGTTCCTAATTTTTCAGGATAAAGAATGCATGCAATTATCTGGCTAAGAAATCTCGGACTCTGTTTACTTGGCTGTTGCCAAAAGAAAACTAATGATCTGTAGGCCTACCGTCTTTCATGTAGAAAATGATTGCCATTTAAGATTTTGAACGTATTCCTGTTACATGTAAAGAAGGCTAACCTAAGGGTAATGTTGGGTTTTCATACTCATGGGCCAGCAATTGAGAATGCTAAAAACCTAGCCATTTTAGAGGTTCTGGTTTCCTATTTTGCTGATACGGACTACCTCTAAGAAGGAGGAAATGGTTATTTTGGGGGATGGAGCAATGAGGATTTTTTGACTGCTGGTGTTTATTGTCAATTGCATTTTTTTCCTTTTTTTGGCAGAGTGATCAATGCAATGGTAGCAATCACCAGAGTTCAGTGGATACTACTGAAAGTAAGTTGGATAAATGTAATTAACCACCTGTCTTTATGTAAAATTGGAAACCCGATTCAATTCCATGATAGATTCCTACGGTCACCTGTCCCTGGTTTGGCATTAAGCTCTGCCATGGTTAGGCACTCCGGAAATGCTATCCTGTGTGAAGAGTGCTATATAATGCATGTTGCTGTAATGTAAATTGTGGAATTTGAAACAATTTTGACAAAGCTCACTGGTGTACAGTTTGGGCTATCTGAAGGCTACATACACATTCAATTTTAGACAAGCAAGAAGTATTATAGNTTTTTTTATAATTTAACTTTTAGGTACTTAAAACGCTAGAACATTGATTATTTCTAGTCATTACACTTAAATTTCTTTAGCACAATTACAAGTTATCAAATTTGGTTTCCTTATAAATTCTAGGATAAGTTAGGAATACATATCTTTAGCTGAGTTATTAAAACATTTTCTCTTTAAGCAGGAAGTTTGCACAACACGTTTAATATTCCAGTATACTTTGCTGAACCGTTAAAGGAATCTGAAAGGGTCCAAATTGATGCTCCACAGAATGTCGTATTTTCAGTCTGGGTTTCATTTTTTGAAATATACAATGAAACTATTTATGATTTACTGGACCCAATTCCACACAAGAATCAAAAAAGAAAAATGCTTCGCCTTGCTCAGGATGCCAAAGGCAACCCTTATGTGAAAGGTAAATGGATAATTCCTATATAAACTATTTTCAAAATTACTGTTAAATTGAACTTTTTAAAAAATTATTTAGCATAGCTATTCAATATTTTCAGAAATAAACATGCAGATATTTCTCAAGCAATCATAAACATTGCTTTGTAAAATAAATTGTTATTTATATTTCCAACCTGTCAGAAGGATAGTTTTTTAAAATTCTTTGTTGTAGACCTGACATGGATTCAGGCTTCCAATGCAGAAGAAGCATATAAAATCTTAAAAGTTGGGAGGAAGCATCAAAGTATTGCTTCTACAAAGATGAACAATCTTTCCAGTAGAAGGTAGGTGGTTGATGCACCACATCAACTTTTTTTAAAAAAATCTTCACTTGTGAAAATTTGAATAAAACTTTTAAAGCAGTTAGCTTAATTCTAAAACTGCTCATTTTTATTTTGTTCAACAGTCACTGTATATTTTCAATAAGAGTTTTGCACGTGGAAGATGGTCCCCTTCGTGTATTAAGAGTCAGTGAGTAAGTATTGCATTAATAAAATGCAGCTAATGACCTCCTTATGAGATGGAAGTATTCTTAATAAAAATATTTGCTAATTATTAGTTCTTACTCATTTTATTTACTTGTATTGATTTGGTAAAACTTCAATTGTTGCTCTCACTGACTAACTGAGTGATACTACACCTGATCTATTATCTCCCAGTAGCTTTGCACCTTAGTCTTTTGGCCCCTCTTTGTTTGGTTTTTCCTCCATAATAATTGGATTTGTAAATCTAATAATAATCCTTGATGTAATGCCTTATCACATCATCGAGACATCTCAAAGTACTTCACAAGATACACTGAGTATTTTGTGCGCAACACATGGCAGCCAGTTTGCATACAACAGCGTCCCACAAACCACCATTGAGTGAGTGACATTTGTATTTCGCATATTTGTTGGCCAGGACACCAAGAGAAACTCTCTTCTCTTTTCGAATAGTGCTATGGGATCTTTAACGTCTAGCTGAACAGGCAGACGGCACCTCAGTTTAACATCTCATGCAAAGGATGGCACCTCCAATAATACAGCACTCCCTCTGTGGGGCTTGAATCCACAACCTTCTGACTGAGAAGCAAGGGTACTTACTACCGTCCATTGCCATACTGAAGCCCAAATATGCCTAGTCTAGAAGCCTAACTGGAATATTTTATAATGTATCCTTGAAGCTATCTAGAAAGAAAGGTTCTCAACTTGTATTAATAGTTTAATTCTTGATTGTCTGATTAAAATTACTTTCTATATTTAAAGATTATCCCTTTGTGATCTTGCGGGTTCAGAGCGAAATGCAAAAACAGAAAATGATGGGGACAGATTGAAAGAAGCTGGAAATATTAACACATCTCTGCTCATTCTTGGCAAGTGCATCAATGCATTGAAGCATAATCAATTTTCAAAGTACGTTTGCCATTGCAACTCTTCTAATTTGTTTGCCAGTATTAGTCTGTGCAACCATAAAATATAATGTTTAATGTCATATTTAAATAGTGATGAAATTTACTTTTGAAACTTTTCTCTTGCTATATCTTTCCTGGTTTGTGCATACAGCGCAATCAGTCATTATCAGACAGTAAACATAGGCCAAATAAATAGTATAAAGTGACTACAGAACAATTATCTATGAAGGATTCATTGATCTGGGGTATAAACCGTAGGCCGGCTCTACTTTTTTATTATTAAGTAGGAGTAACAAATGGAAATAAACAAGTGTAATTTCCAGCACAAGTTCTGTAATCTATAAAAATTGTGTTCTCAAGCTACTAAACAAACCCTGATTCAATTAGAAGAAAATGGCCCAAATATTTTGTTAGTTCAATAGAAATTGAAGTTTTTTTTTTGGTGGGGGGGTTCAGCAAAACTCTATGAAATCACATATTGCAGTATTATAAAACATGAATATATGTAAAATCATTTATTTCATAGTTTTAAAAACATTTTGCCAATAGGCTATTTACAAATTACCAAGGCATATTAATAGTATTCATTTTTTTTGCCTGAATCATGTGAAGGATACATCCAATACATTACCAATACTTCATTTTGGCCATGTTTAACCTAACATCCCTATCCATTTATAAATACCAATTTTGGTGTTAAGGAATTCTTAGCTCATTAAATTTGCTGTGAATGTTTTCTCGTTTTGTCTTAGGACACACAACCATGTTCCATTCAGGGAAAGCAAGCTTACTCGCCACTTCCAGGGCTTTTTCTGTGGGAAAGGGAAAGCTTGCATGATTGTCAATATTAACCAGTGTGCTTCTATGTATGATGAAACATTGAATGGATTGAAGTTCTCTGCAGTGGCACAAAAGGTATAGTAAATGTGTACGAATTTATAAAAATGTCTATTTTATTTTATTATTTTGCTATGCCTGTTGTTTATTGACCAAAGAAGAGTTGCCACTTCAGTTATTTTTCTTCCGTTTTATGTTGTTCCACTACAAAAACCCAAGAGTGAACATGACATTTTTTTGGTTGCTGCATTCTGTTTCTATTTAATGTTCTGCAATAGTTAGAGATACCTTTGTCTGTTGCATGCCCTGAATCAGTCTGAAAAATGACTTGATTTGGAATGCAGTAAATCTGAATTGGTCAGTGAATTGAAGATTTTAATCTTATTCTAGGCAAGAATGCAAACTAAATTTAGTAGGTAGCACTCTCCTCTGAGTTAGAAGTTGTGAATTTAAGCCCCACATTGGAATTTGAACTTGTAGTCTATTCTGACAATCCAAGAGGAGTACTGAATTGTTTAAGGTGCAATTTTTAGATGAGACATTAAACCAGCGTCCTGTCTGCCTGTTCCAATTGAAGTGTTNAAAAAAAAAGGCCTGGTGTAATTCAAATAGAAATTGTAGTTTCTCCTGGTGTCCTGGTGGTGCAAAGCTGTGTTTGCCAACAAAATAGAGCCTTCACTTTATAGTAATTAACCCTGAAGTTGTTTCTTTAAAATTGAATTTTGTGCCTAATAACCATAAGCATTTTTGTTTAATGTATGAAAATTAAAATGAATAATACAGCAATATATACAATAAAGATGCCTTTAGGACCTATGTTTGAAAAGTCATGGAGTCCTGTAGCTCCGTGGTTAGAGCACTCGTCTCACAAGCAAGAGACCTGGGTTCAATTCCCGGCAGGACAAAATCTTGAGCAAATTTCCTTACTCCACATGCTTGATAATCTCTCAAGAAAAAAAACAATAATGAATTGGTCACTTCAATCCACGACTGTTTGTGGGACACTGCTATGTGCAATTGGTTGCCACTTTTCACTCAAATATACAGTCAATTCACTTTGCAGTATATTCTGTGAAGCGCTTCGAGATGCCTAGAAGACACGAAAAGTGCTATATCAAATGCAAGGATTATTATTATAACCTAGTTGTAAAGGTGGTTCAGTCGGCGGATTGATTAGTTTGTATGCTTTCATTGTTATTAGCATCTTCAACATTTGGGTTTTCTAACTGTCTAAAAGCAGAAACAATTTTCAAGTTGCTAAAGTGGCATTTTATATTTTAGGTTCTCATTGATACTTCAAAGTGTCGCCCAGGCCTCTTAATTCAAAAGAAATCAGCCAGAGATGTTTCTATGATCATCAACAATGCTGAAAATAAAACTTTGCTGACAAAAAGAGAAACTATGGCTTGGGAAACTACCTTGGAGGATCTTGCAGAAGTTGAGAATGAGGATGCTGAAACTGAGAACATAGCAGATGTGAAACTGAACAAAGAAGATGATGAAGATGATGATGATGAAGATGATGATGATGATGATGACGACGATGATGACGATGATAAAGATGATGATAAAGAAGAGGAAGAGAGTGTTGTATTAAGCAAAAACAAATATGAGGTATATTTTTAGTAAGAGCAATTCATTTAATAATTAAATCATTTGCTAGAAGATGGTGTGTAATCAGTCCATGAATCTGGATTAATTCCCTTGTGATGATTATCCTAAACAAGCAAGAACTTTTTCAATTTGGCCCGAGTATGCTTCACAAGAGAACAGTTCACCAATTGATTACTACTGGGTAATGTTGTGATGGCTCAGTCGTTCAATCACAAAGTAAATTGATGCAAATAGACACTAAACTATGATATTTTTATTTATTTTAACTGATTCTTTCCTATAATGTTGGAGTATTAGCAAATACTTCAATGAGGGATCCAGAAGTTGTATTTTTTTTCAATAGTTTATCAGATAAGGTGAGTTGGTGAAACACTTTTAGCATTCAAGTCCAATCAAATTAGATCTAGAGTATCTAATTCCAAGTAATGCTTTCTCTACTTCTACTTGACTAGGATTGTTGAGTCCTGTAGCTCAGTGATGAGAGCACTCGCCTCACAAGCGAGAGACCTGGGTTCGATTCCCAGCAGGATGAAACATTGGGCAAGTTTCTTTATTCCCCACGCCTGTTTTCCTAGCAGTAAGTAGGAACATGGTTGTTAGTGGATTGATGGATCGCTTTTCCGGGGGTAATAATTTCTTCCAAAAAATAATAATAAATTGGTCACTCAATCCATGACTGTTTGTGGGACACTACTGTGCGCAACTGCAATTGGCTGTCGCGTTTCGCCCACAAAATATACAGTCAATTCACTTTACTATATATTCTGTGAGGCACTTTAAGACGTGATAAGGTGCTATTATCAAATGCAAGGATTACTATTATCTTGACAATTGGCAGAGTAAGTTTGTCTCTTTGGACAAGTGAAAGGAAAATGTGCTAAACTCTTGCCTTGTAGTTCAGTGTACTTTGTTTGAGTTTACTTTCTTTTGTCTAAATGAATATTTTAGGAAATCTGTGAAAATAAGAAGTTTTTCTGTCTTTACAATTTGTTATTCTTATTCTTTTGTGTAACATAGAAACTATTGCATTGCATCGAAGACCTAAAAAATAAACTGATTGAGGAAAAAAAAGAAAAAGTGACTATGGAGATGAAAATCCGAGAAGAAGCTGGCCAAGAAATAGAAAACTACATTGCACAGTGGGAAAGCAATTTAAGGTCTGAGGGTGTGCTTGTATTTATTTGCGTGAAGAATTCTAATCCTTACATTTGATATAATGACTTATGATGTTGTCAAAATGTCTCCAAGTGCTTCACAGGATTTATTGTAGATTAATTTGAGTTTGCCAATGTCGTCAAACAGTTGTAAAGTGAATGACCAATTTTATCTGGGTGATCTGTTATGGAGAAACTCCCTTCTCTTTTCCAATGGGGAACTTTAACGTCCGCCTAATCGGGCAGGTGCATTTAATGTTTCGCCTGAAGGTGGCACCTCTGACAATGTAGCATATCCTGCAGGAATTTCATTGGAGTGTCTGCCTAGACTATGAGCTCAAAGATTTGATGTCGGGCTTGAACCAGTAGCAAAATTTTTAAAAAAGATTCCATTATCCACTGATCCTTGGGACGTCCTCAGGACGTGAAAGGCGCAATATGCAAATGTAATTACAAATGTAATTTTGTTGCTGTTGATCCAGCGGTTCTGAAACTCTAAAATGTGAGATGTGTTCTCTGCCTTTGTCAGAACACACTTTTTTGTGTTAATAAATATTCATAAGCTATCATGAATGAGATGAGATTTTTATGGGTTTTTACAGTGATCGTCTAAAGGAAGATAAGCAGTTAATGGAGGACAGGACTGAGAAAAGATTTGAAATCTTCCAGAACTTGGTGAAAACTTTTGCTGCAATTGATAAAGAAATTGACAAAGACACTGTTCCTGATACTGAAGCCATTACTGAACAGGCAAAACATCCTGTATGTATTTACTGTCATTTGAGCTAAACCTATCTTGACTTAAACATTTTAGTTTGAAGGCAATTTGAATGTTTCCAGATTTTTGGTCAAAAAAAAAACTTTTTCCCTCTTTTTCCTTCACTGTTTCCATTTATAATCTTCTAAACTTTGGCAAACAACTTTGTATGTGTGGATGCTCACATATGTTAGTCCCACAACTTCCCTGACATGTCAATCTGTGTCAGTTTCCAGATTTTTGTTTACAAATCAATTGGAAGTTCATTGATGGTTTGCTTAGAATTCTAAATCATTAATTTCTGTCTTATTTTTCCAAACAGGAAAATGTGGTTAATATTAATGTTTCGGAATACATAGAGTCTTTAGAACCAGATGTTGCCGATATCAAGAGACATGCTGAACTGGCCCTTCACCACATAACTACTCTTCCAGAGCCCGAGGACACAATTGTTAATTTAAAAGCTGAATTGTCTCGTGTAGTTCAGGAACTTCACGAAACTCAAGAAGCTCTGAGAAACAAAACCGCTGGTAACTTTCAACAAAAATACTATTACATTGTAGCTGTAACGCATTGTGCCATTTTATATTGTATTACAGCTTTGCATAGTGGTTTAATTTTCAATTTTGATCTAATTTTGAATTAGTCATATGTTCAAATCAAATGCAAATGGATCTTCATTTGCATTTGTCTATCAGATTGTCAAATTATCTACTCCTATATCTTGCGTAGATTTATAAATGTAACTAAATGCACTCCTTTTGAATTGCAGAACTAGATGTGTACAGAAAATCAACTGAAAACTTGGCAAATCAACAACTGGAGGAAGCCGAAAAGGTAACTAATTTTAAATTGTCATCACTTTTCTCATTAAAATCTCATTAAAAATTGAATATTTATTTAAACACCTGAATGTTCTATATACAGTTAACTAAATCTACATTGAAAGTAAGCTTTTGGTTCCTTAATCAATTGTACAACAAACATCTGTCCAAATTAATTTGTTTTCATCTGAAAATGCATAGAATGAGCAGATCCAGACATTGAAGGATGCTTTGTTGCTCAGCAATGCTGGTCTCAACAAGATGAAAAGTCTACTATCAAGTTATTTAGGACATTGCAAACATGTTTTTTGTAACGCATGACATCCCTTACCTCTTTGTTTCAGCACAGTTTGGATTATCTCCAACTTTTTCCTGTTGAAATCAATTACAGGAAGTTGTTTGCATTGCCTTTCAGTAAACATTGCCTTGGTAGTACTCTTGCCTGTGGACTATAAAGATTATGGGCCTATGCCTTGAGCTCATAATCTTGGTTAACACTGCAATGCAGTTCCAATTCCAAAGTATTATAATGCATTGTGTGAAGTGCTTTGAGATATTTTGATACTTTTTTTGATAAGGTGCTGGAGCAAATACAAACTGTTAGACCTATTTAATACTTTCACCCTTCAGGCAGTATCGGAGAAATTAGTTGGCCAGCGTTTAGTTTTAAAATCGGATGCATTCTTGTGTGTTCTCAAACCACAAAACTGAATGCACATACAGGGTTTTTAGTCACCCTTCAGTGAATATTCACAAAGTAGTTTTAGCCTATTGAGGTTTAGCAGCCTCTTTTTCATGGGTAAATAAGATTTGACAGAGATGAGGAAAATTAGAATAACAGTGAACAGAGGAAATAAAGTGCTTAACATTGTAGTTTTTATTAATTATTTACAGTAGGATTAATAGAAGAATAAATATTCCCAATCTTTTAGTAACTATTTGAATTGGTGTTTTTTTAGCAATGTATTACATGAGCTGAGGGGGGAATAAAATATTGGCTCAATTAAACTAGAATTTCTTGTGTTTTGGCTATCTACTGGATAATATTTGAATAAGTGTTCTCTTTGGAATTATTAGGAGAAGACTATTAAAAATATTCAAGGAATATGGGAAGAAAATCGAATGATTGAAGATCAGAACGTTGCATCAGTACAAGATCTTTCAGCTGTGAATAGAAAACGGCCTTCTGAAACTTACCACGGACCGGAGAACCAGCCACCTTCAAAGAAAGGTACCACTTTCCATTGTATTAATAGACTCAAACCAGCAAAAACAAACGTTGGCAACCCAGTCCACAAAATTATCAGCCTGAAGAAGAGGCATAGGCTGTTAAAATAACGTAACTGAATACCTATCATTCTAGATGTAAACTGTTTGTGAAGAACATGTAGTACATTGTTTGAAATATAATTTGCAAAGTAATCTGGTGTACGAAAACGGGTAAGCTCAATTGATTTGACTGAACATAAGCTGTTTTCTCATTGTGTATCTTATTTATACCAGACATTCTGCCGTTGTGTAAGGCGAAAAATGTCAGCCATGAATTGTACTTTTTGCAAACAGATTTTGTCATCTCAGAAACCTGTTGTGACATGCACGGAACATGTTGTATGATTGCAATGCTCTGATGTCGTAATCCTGTCATTCAACATGCTTGATTACAAAACTGCTGCTGTTGTTTACTGACATGCTAGTTTATGCATGCTAGTTTTTGCAAGAATTGCACCTTAAGTTACTTTTGAGATGTAAAATATTTTTTACTAAGACTTTGTGTGTTGCTCAAGAGTGAAGCAAACTGTACAATGTTTTCTTCTCACTATTTGCTGTTTTTTGAAAATTGAGATTCATGTTTGAATGGTATTAGCATAACAGTTTAAACAATGGAGATACAACGGAACCTTGATTCATCGGCCAATTTAAATTCACTCCCTCGACTTCAGTGGATAATTGAGTTTCCAATTTTTTATATGGTGTTTGAAAGAAATACAGAATGTAAATTTGCCTGTTTATGGAATTAAGAAATAAAGTTACTTGAACATTTATTTAATCAAGTTTCTGTATTAGACTTTGTAGGAACGATTGGAATGATGGCCATGTTTGCTTTATTTAAAAGTAAGTTAACTTAAGCTTATTTTCTTTTTATAGGACAATTTAACAAAGATGTATATAATTGCACCAGCATGAAAACTCTAGAAGAGAAAGTTGAAGAAATAAGAAGGGAGCTATCAAATAAAGAGTTAGCATTGATAACATTAAAAGCAAAAGTACAGTCTTTGGATAGTCTTCTAGATTTAACTAAAGAAGATCTTCAAAGTGAGAGAATTTCAAAGGAAAGGCTCAGTAACGAAGTAGAAGTACTTAAGTTAGAACTGGCATCCTCGGGTCAGAGGATTTTCAAATTAACTGAAGATGTTATGATTCAAAAGTCTAATTTTGAAAGCTTGATTTCTGAGATTAGCTTTCAGAAAGAAACGAATGAGCAGCAATCTGAAAAGGCCAAACTGTTTCAGTTAGAACTAGAATTTGTCAGGCAGGATAGAGCAGACAAAGAATTGCAGATTAAAATGTTGGAGGAAAATCTAGTCAAACTGAGTGGCTTCCAGACTGAAGCTCAGGAGTGTATGGTGGATCTGAAAAATACTAAAAGTGCCTTGGAGGAAGTAAAAGAAGAATCGGTGAAGAAAACTATTAAAATTGAATCTTTGCAAAGACAACTATCTGACCTTGATCAAGAGTTACATCAAGCACAGGCTAAAGCAGTTAGACAAGATACGACTCATTTCCATAAAATTATTGAATCAATGCAGAAGGAATGTGAGCAAATAGCTACCCTATCATCCAAAAAAACCAGCAAAATGAAGAATTAAAGCAGCAGATTGAATTGCTGAATAATGCAAAAGCTGATCTTCAGAATGAATGTACTGAACTAAAACAAAATGAAGCCACAATTCAAACCTCACTGGAAGAAAAAAGTGACCTCTTCCAACAGTTAAAAGCAAAACTTGAAGAAACTGAATGTAAACTGAATATTGCAGTGCAAGCTTCAGTACAGGACAAAGAAAATCATTCAGAGCTTCAAAAACAGATGAAAAATCACAAAAGCAAAATAAAAGCTAAAGACTTGGAAATTTCCAAATGTCAAACCAATATAACCAGACTTGAAGAGCAATTGAAAGAGAGGGAGTCTTTAATTACTGACTTGCAAAATAATTTAAAAGGGGTGGAAGAGAAATTTCAAGAGTCAGAAAGATGTGTTGGAAATTTTGAAGCCCGGGAAACTAAGCTGAGAGCAGAAGTCCAAGAAATCCAAGATGATCTGACGGTGATAAATGATATGTTATCTAAGAAGACAGAGAATTGGAAAACAAACTGTTAGAAATTGTGCAGTAAGTATCTCAAAAATAATTTGCAATACACTATTTATTTGCAGAGAGAAACCATTTAAATTTCATTTGATATGGGGAATAGTAGATAACACTCTTTGGATAAAAAGTCAAACTGCAAATACTGGAAATCGCATCGGATTCATCAGCATCTAAAAGAGAAAAATGGGTAAACATTTTGTCTGATGACAATTCAGACAAAGGGTGAATTGGAGAGCTTTTTTAAAACAAATTTCTTCATTTGTTCATTAGCACTGATATGCCTACTTGTGAAATATCACAAAATAACATATTCAATTTAAACTGTTTCAATGGAATTGGGTAGATTCCTGACTGAAGAAGAAAGGATTGTATTTCAAAATAATCGAGTATGATCATATTCTGCCAATAATCGCACTAATTTAAAGGGCGAAAAGTTCTTCATGTCCACTTCCAAAAACAGCAATGCACTTCAAAATACTTGCAAAGATATTTTGTATTCCTTTTGTTCAACTAACTGTATGTAATCTTGAAAACCCAAATTCATGTGAATCGTCTTCACAATGACTGGAATAATTGTGTGCAAAGTTATGCATGTATCATTTAACTTTGTTAATATACAATGTTGTGAGTACAATTCTTATTTTGTGGTTTTGCTATGCCAAAGGCTGAAGAAAGATCTTTCAGATAATTCTTCAAAAAGTCAAATATTGGCAGATGAGCTGCAGAGGAAAGATGAGGAATACAGTGACCTCAAGGAAAAATACATGGATGCCAAGAAACAGATACAACAAGTGGAGAAGGAGGTGAATCATGTTTATTCTTTAATCTGAGCTACTTTCGGTTACTTTTCTTTACTAGTGATAATTACAAGAATTGGAAGCCAAGTTTAATTTGTGTGACATACAAAATGGAATGCCTAAAATATCTATTCATTCCAAAACCTTTGAATGTTTATTTGGGCCCTTGTAATTGGTTGTTTTCCCTGATTATCGCTAATTACTGTTTAAACAAGGCTATAGAAATTCTCACATTTTTAAAAGAGATTCTAGTTAAAAGACCTGTTTTCAGAAAAAGGGCAGATTTATTGAGTTCCGGTAGGCTACTAGTGATTTCAAGAGTTATGAGTTGCACGTCCAGTATAATTTTGTGAATATCTGTTCGGAATGCAAGGGTGCCTGCCTGTTGAGCCTGTTTGTTCGACCATGGCAGATCTTGTGGCTAATTCTTCAAAGGCTTGCCCATTAGCACTCATTGTATCAAAAAGTAGCTTAATGAATTCAGAACTGAAAGGCTATCGGGAATGTAAAATACAGTCAATTTGTATTTTTTTTCTTAGATTTCCACAAAGCGTGAAGAAGAGAAATGTGTAAGGCACAAACTTCAAGAACTTGAAAGAATGAAGAATCAAATGGCTCAAGATCTTGAGGCTAAGGAACGGATTATCCAACAGTTTAAGAGGGTATTACTTTAATATTTCCTTTTCAGAAACAAAATGTAAAAGATACGAGGCACAGAGCCATAAAAGCAATTTAAAAGTTAGACTTGCAGGCCAACCATGCTTTGCAGTAATTGCTAAACAATGATGGGGTTCTATGATTCGAAGGAATATTACAGCTGTGTAATTGGATGGTGTCAATTCTGATTAAGGGAAGGATATTTAAAGATTTTTGTAGTATGTTACCAGATTAACGTGCAGTATATTTATGAATCAAATATTCTATTAACTCAAACTGTTGCCTAGGAGTAGAAAATAATTGACACCTCTGAATAAGATTCATGTTTTCTCTTTTGATAGATGCATTTTAATAGACACATTTTTAATGCAAGTATATATTTAAAATGTCTTGGGCGTTTAGTTGCCATCAATTTATCTTGCATTTTTAGGCTTGTTCTAGTGAAACAGATTTACAGAAAAAGGTAGCGTTATTGACGATTACTTTAGAGCAAAAGAATGCAACTTTGATCAAACTAGAAAAGGACTTGGAAGAATATGGAACGACAAACAGTGTGAAAGAACAGCAGTTCACAGAGGCCAAAGAAGGGCAGAAGCTAAATAAAGTAAGTGGAAAAAGTATAAATAATTTTTGGTATTTTTCATTACTATAGTTTGATTCATTCTAATACTATGAAATCTGAGTACAGATTTTAATTTAAACTGAATAACCTCAGTATTGATATTGTAACTTTTCAAAAATATGTTATGCTTTTCATATTTCTTAACTACAGTAAGGCATTATTGCCATAAATATCTGGAGAATTTTTTAACAATTTAAAAAAAAAGAAAAATAGAGATTTTAAAGCTTTTGTTCATGCATGGTTTGCTTTTTTGGGCACAACAGTATATCTGTAATATGCACAGTTGAAGTTTTAATACATGCCATTGATCTCTAGGATTCAAGTCATTACCCCAATCAGAAGCCAGACATTGTGTTAACTGATAAAACAGAAGAATCTGTGCATTTTCAACAGACTACTTCCAAAGGTATAGTTTTAAATGAAAGAACTTTAAAGAATTGAAAAGTGATGTCAGATGTCAGATGTTTATCAAGTGCTGAATTGCAGCATTAAAATTGATTATTTTTTATGGTGTATTTTCCTGACAAAGGGATATCATAATTGCCTCTATATCACCTCTCTGACAGTCTCCAATTTGTCCAATTCCTGAGCCAGGCAGGTCTGCACTATTCTAGAGTAATAATAATCCTTGCATTCGATATTGTGTCTTCTCACGTTATCCAGATATTTCAGAGCACTTCGCAAATTATACTTTAAGGTGATGTCACTGTGTGTATTTTGTGGGCAAACACGGCTGTTAATTTCCACACAGAGATGTCCCACAAACACCCATGGACTGAGTGACCAATTTTATTTGGGGCAGCGGAGTTGTTGGCCTGGACACCGGCTTAAACTCCCTTCTCTCCCTAATAAAATGGACTATATTTCATTGTATGTAATTCGACACAGTGACAAATTCACAATCTTTCCTGGCCCCCTCATGTCCACACACATTTTACACCTCCAAAGTGAAAAGTATAGATTTACTCTATGTAGCGTTTAAAGAAAAAATGCTAAATAAGATGATGATGATGATGATGATTTAGCACATTTGCCAAATGCTGGATGCTCAAAAATGCTATATAATAGCATAGATCTAGAACCCTGGTGGGATTTCTCTCTAGGAAGCTCAAAGTCTGTGTTGCTGTTTAAAGTAGTTGAAACTGAAATAATGATGTGTTCATATCAAGAGCTTCAAGAAAAAGAGAGAATGATTCGAGATCTGAAAATTGTGCTATCTGAACAAGAGCAGACTCAGACTGAACAAGATGAAGTGCTTGAAAAAAAGCAGAAAGAGATTGAACAACTCAATACAGGTAATGATAATATTCATCCTTGCATTTGATATAACGCCTTATCACGTCTTTGAGATGTCTCAAAGTGCTTCACACAATATACTGTAAAGTGAATTGACTGTATTTTGTGGGTGAAACAAGTAATTGTATAATGCAGTTGCACAGCCATTTAGCTGAAACTGCTACTTATTGTGGAATGGAAATAAGTTTACTCTTGACGGTTGCATTTTATCATAAATGAAGATAACCTTTTTTAATACTCTTAATACTGACAGTTGGCGAGATCAACACTGAAGTTGTCATCCACTGTGCTCCGCCCAATGAAGCTCTCCCAAATTCCCTTTGTTTTGTATCTGTCTGTTTTCAAAACCCTCTTCAAAAACCTATGGCTTTGTGTATACTGCTAGTCAACACCTCCAATTCTATATCCATTGTCTTTGTAAAGGGCTATGAGGACTCCAAAAGGGTATTGGGAGTCCTGTAGCTCAGTGGTTAGAGCATTTGCCTCGCAAGCGAGAGACCTGGGTTCGATTCCCGTCAGGGTGCCTGATAATAATCTCTCAAGAAAAAAACAATATTAATTTGGTCACTCAATCCACTGTTTAGTCACTGTTTGTGGGACACTGCTGTGCGCAATTGGCTGCTGCGTTTCGTCCACAAAGCATATAGTCAATTTACTTTACAGTATATTCTGTGAAGCTCTTTAAGACATTTAGAAGACACGAAAAGCTCTATATCAAATGCAAGGATTATTATAAAATGTTATGTGAAGGGTGTTTATATAAATGCAAGCTGTTGTTTGGTTGAGTGAACATGGCCATCGTTTCAGCCAATTTGTTTCAGCAGTTTGTCTCACAATGCGAATGCTGAAGGCGAGACACATGTAAATACGATGTACCTGCTGTTCTGTTTTACATGTGAAATTGTGATTAAATTGAATGTAAAATGCTGGCAGTGATTCATCCTATGCTGAGAGCTAAATTGTAAAATTTCTGGAGATGCATGGTCATTTTTACAATGTCAACGTATATCCTGTATAATTAACTACTACTTCACACTTAAGTGAAGGATTATATCCTCAAGTTTTTTTGTTCACAGGTTTTTTTTTCCCCCCACTATAGAATTGGAGAAGCAGAGACTACGAATCAATGACCTTACGGAAAAATGTAATAAAATTGAACACCATCACTTGACACAAAATAAAAATGAGGAATATAGTAGAGAGGTAGAATCATTCCAAAACGAAATTGAAGTTTTAAAAAAACATTTGATGGTGAGTATAGTAATGTCATCCTTTTGAATATTTATTATTTAATAAATCAAGGTAATTGTTTTAGAAGCAAATTAAGAGGTTCTGTAATTTTGGGGAAGATTAACAGCTGTAAAACCAATATTTTCAGATATTTCCTGATCTGTTATACTATTATTCTGTGCCCTGTTTGACAGAGTGTAAATTTTAAATGTCTGTGCCTGACTGCCATTCTGTAGTTGATGAACTTAAATAAAACAGATCAAGCGCTCTGGGACGCTACCCTGTGTGAGGGCCGCTATATAAATGCTTGTTGTTGTAAAACTGGTTTAAATTCTTTAGGAATTGGAAGCTAAACAGAAAGATGACCGGAAAAAATGTCAGGCAGAGAAGTTGGTTCTCATTAAACAAACCAAGGAAGCTGAAGACAGACGCAATAAAGAGATGAGAAAATGGGCAGAAGAAAGAGAACATCATTCCAAATCACAGGTAGTAAATGTCGGTTTTTTAAATGTTTTTTAAATTTCGCTGCAAATGGCACAATTTAATTGTTTTTTTAAAAAAAGTTCTGTAAATACAGTCTATTTATTGCAATAACTTCCATTGATATGCTCACGATATTACAAGTATCATGGCTGGAGGGAGGAAGAGTCATCATTCCAGCCGTCTTCCCATTTAAAATAATTTTCCTTTGCTTCATCTAAATAGCTGTTTTAACTTCTGATAATACTTTTCAGTATTATGCTTGTCAGGGTCAGACTCTGCCACTGTCAAGTGCTCCAGGACGCTACCCCGTGTGAAGAGTTCTATAAAGTCGTTGCAATTTATTGTTGTTGTACTTGTCACTTTGGAGGGTTGTTTTCTACAGCACTGGAAATATGCTGATTTGGAAGGCACACACATGTTTACCTTTCAAAAACTGCCGTATATTTGTACGAAAATTGTGAACGAATCAATAACCCAGAATCTTTTTTTAAGGAAAACCTTACATCCGAGCTGGTCCAGAAAGATGCAAAATTGCAGAAATGGCGAGAAGAGAGGGACAACCTGGTAAAAGAGCTGGAAGTCCAACTTAAGAATCTTATGGCAAGTAATATCCAGAAAGATAAAGAAATAGAAAGATTAAAAGCTTCTAGTCAAAGATCTCAAGAAGAGGTAAGAAGCAGATTCACTATTTTTGTTTCTAACAAATGTATACATAGCACTTGGTACATGGCATGATTATCCTAGATATATTTCTAATCGTCAGTGATAATAATTGGTTTTACTATCTCTGGACATTTGTTGATCTTTATCACAGATGAGAAAAATGTTTTTCCCTTTAAAAATGATTGTTTTCTCTCAAAGGAAGAAAGCTTTTTGGATGATGATCCCAGAGTGGTTTTGCCATTTTTAAAAGATTCCCATTGTAGAACACTTCTATGAATGCTTCAGTATACTGGTTATAGATGTGGCCATAATTAAACTTTCCCTCCCCTGTTTTTATTCTAATCAAGTGCTGGGTTACTTTTAGTTGAATTGTAGAATGTATCATGTTTGTGATTGTGACACTGCATTGAATTTCTAAGTTTTGTGACCTCAATTTCCCTGTCTACAATTTTTTCAGTTAAATTCGTAATAAATGTTAAGTTTTATAGGTTGTGTGGCATATATAGTAAACTCTTGATAATTCATCATTCCTAAGGAAAAGGGCTCAGTGCTGAGTTATCGAGAGTGGTGAGTTAGGCATGTGTAATACGTAAATAAATACCAACCGGATATTGAAAGCATGATGACTTAAGGAGAAGAGACAAAATCAGCCAGAGTCGAGTTATCAGGATTTTATTTGTATTTGTGTCTTGATATTCGGTACTGAATTGATTACAATTCATGAGGCACACAGAATCTATTCTTGGGACTGGTTTCAAATCATTTCCAAGGTGGGGAAGGATATTTTAATCAAAAATAGTTGATCTTATTTAATGTGATACTTTTCTAAATTTGATGTATACTGTTGTAAGATTTATTAATTGCTGAGGCATTTTTTAAAAGCTTTCCTCCTTCCCCAGTTCATCCATGACCAGTCAGAAATTGTGCTGGATTCATCAGAAGTTTCAACAGAAAATGGAGAAAGAACAAGCAGATTCCCAAAACCTGAATTGGAGATTCAATTCACACCACTTCGACCAAACAAGATGTCAGTGAAAGAACAAGGTTGCGACTCATCAATTACTGTGAAGTGTCCCAGATACAACAGAAAAAGGAAAAGCACTGAAATGGACCAGGTAAGCACATCTTGCTAGAAACAAATTCACTTAAAACTGTTATGTTGATGGTTATGAGATGTATGGAAACTCTAGTCTCCGAAGAATGTCTGTTTTCTCGTATATTTTCAACTCAACCACTTCCTCCACTTGCAGATTGCCTGGTGTTGAGACTTATTCTGTGTAAGCAAGATATTTTATGGAAATACATTTAACTTCTTAATAATGCTTTGCAGCTTTAACAATTCTAAGTGTACTTATTTTAAGATTAAATTTTGCAGGTGGAGAGATTCCTTTTATAAAATAAAAGGAATGGGGTCCTGATCCCCAACTGTTCAGTGCCTTGGAACGGTCTCCTGACGTGAAAGGCACTTTACAAATGTAATTTTGTTGTTGTTTATTGGTGTAATGGATGGTGTTTCTAGAGATCTACATGTTTTGAAATATTTAAATATGCTTTTTCTTCCATTCTACAATCCTTGAAGCGTGCTATGCATTCAAGGTGCTGGAAAAGCAATTCTAGAAAAAGATCCACAGCATCTGGCATTTGTAAGGTATAAATCGCTGTATCACTGGATAAATGACATCCTTTTCCATAGAGTTAGAACTGGAAAGGTTGATTGTTTATATGTCTAGTGTTCTATTTAAATCGGTACACAAACTATGCAAGATTTCAAGTGCAAAGTTCTAATTCAAACCTATCTACAACCATAAAATATGGTTTTGCTCACAAAATATAAGGTCAATTCACTTTGCAGTATATTCTGTGAAGCGCTTTGAGACATCTCAAACATGTGATAAGGTGCTATATCAAGCATTATTATTATAATGCAAATTCCCTACTTAAAGTGTAAAACACTTTTTGTGTTGTGTCAGCAATCTGGTTACTTGAATACTGGTTACTCATAGTAACTCAAGCAGACCTTATACTAAGATAGCTTCTATAAACTTCAGTGGAGTCCTGATCCATGCGCTTGGTTAGAATACACAAAGTTGAATACCACCGAGCTTGTATAAAATTGATGTATTAGGGTAAAGAATTCTAGAGATGCAATAGTTAATTTGCGCTAAAGGATAAGAGAGAATGACTTTAATTTGGCTAACTGCAATTAAATGGAACACTATGTATCTTGGTCTGTATTTTTGCAGATTGCATTAGTTAAGAAATGTGACTATTCCTGTAATTCTGATATTTCAATCCATGGATCTTTGTAATTTTGGAACTAATGGATTATTAGTACTCATTTGGCTTAGAAAATATTTTGTTTTTTACAGATATAGTCACATTGTACTCTTGTTGCTGTATTAACAATTGTTGTAGATAGTCAAGCAGTAACAGAATTCTTTAGCACTAGAGCATTTCTTGATATCTCATTTAATTAGATGCTGAAGTCAATACCTCTTCTACTTCCTCTATGCTATTCTGGCACTTAGCACTCATTATCTTGGATTTTAATGTGAACTGTGGATTGGTTAGTTGTGTGTGCATGGGGAGAGAAGGGAATCGTGGAACAATGGCATTTTTTTCAAAAAGTGTGTCGCCTGTTTAAATCAATACATTAATGATGATCTTGTGTTGCAAGTACAAAGTGTACTGAGTGTTCCATTAACCTATTTACACTAAATTTTTACTAGCTGAAGTGTTTTGTTATCCTATAATTGCACTTTCCTGCAGTCATCTTCTGAAAGTGTTCAATCTCATGAGTCATTTAAAAGCATCAGATTAAATTCCCCCTATCCCCTCTTCTGTTATCAGTTAGTTTTTTAATATGTACATTTGTCAGTTTACTTTTGAAATCAACGCCTTGACAACCATGACAATCAGTTACGTGATCTATGTAACTGAATTACTGATGCGTTTTTATAAAGTTTATTTCTGTTTGTGGGGAAAAATCCATACCATTGATGAATCACTTTGTATTCTTAAAGAGGAAGGAATTTCTGGGGAGTATGTTTTGTTTGAAGTACTCTCACAGCTCTGATTCCCAAAGTGCTGGTTAATGTATTATAATGAATGGAACCTCTCCAAGACGAACAACTTGTCCCCATAACTAATGCTTTGGTTATGTTAACTAACATTTAGAAATACTTTTGTTGTTGTTTTTGTTATCCAGTATTTAACAAACTGACAGCTGGATGGGAGGGAGAGAAAGGAATTACTTTGAAATGAAAGTACAGCACTTCCATTGAACTTTCCCTCGTCTTTCATTGGTAGCTTTTTAAAATATGCATTTTACCTTTAATTTTACTTTAAGAGTCTTGAAATTTTAGAGCTGAAGAAATTTATTCAAAGGAACATTTCTATATTTTGACTATTTAAATGAAAATTAGATTCTACTGGAAGCAATTTGTTCATTTTATGCATCTGTAATTCACTTGTACATTTTGGTGCTAATAGTCTTACCCTAAGGAATTATAGTATAGGAATCACCATCTTACGTATTCCAGTGACTTTTTCCGCTTTTTTATCTCCACCATCTCATACTGGATACGGCCTTCTATATATAAACTCTGATGTGTGTATCTCTCCCATTATCAGCAGTAGATCTGTCTCTCGCCACTTTTGTGCATGTAATTTAATTCTGCATTAATTGCTGATGACTACTAACTTTCTTCCCCCACAAAATAAATATTTCACGATATTCATTAAAATTTCTTTTCCTTTGAATTAGGATAATGAAGACAGTGAAAACAAGAAAAATGTCATGAAAAGTAGAATTGCAAATAACATTTCTCCAAAATTTCCTATGCCCTCTGTCAACAGTCCTGCTAAAGAGGTTGGTGTTTGGCAACGTTAACAATTTTTCTGTTTTGTACGGTAATGAATCTTGTAGACATTGCTACCCATCCAATTGTGTGCAGTTTAATTTTTAACTTTTAAGAGAAAAGTGAAAGTTAAACATGATTCTCATTTTATAAGATTTTGCTGAGTAAAGTTCAAGGATGTGAAAAATATTTTTTTTTAAAATCTGGCAGAATCTTGAAAATGTCAGTGTTCTCTACTTTTTTTCCTCAAATTTTTAATGTAAAATCATGGGCGAAGTTAATCTTATCATTTGATTTTAATTGACTAAAGATAATTGTATAACCTGCCAACTTTCACCTTGCCGCAGTATACATTATTTGTCTAATCACTATTCAGCCTGCTATTTTATAAAGAATGTGTTGCAATTTGTTTTTGTGGAGTCCTGTAGCTCAGTGGTTAGAGCACTCACTTTGTAAGCGAGAGACCTGGGTTCGATTCCTGGCAGGGCGAAACCTTGGGCAAGTTTCCTTACTCCACACGCCTGATAATAATCCCTCAAAGAAACAATAATAAATTGGTCATTTCAATCCATGACTGTTTGTCGGGCACTGCTGTGCGCAATTGGCTGCCGCGTTTTGCCCACAAATATACAGTCAATTCACTTTACAGTCTAACCTGTGAAGCACTTTGAGACGTCTAGAAAACGTGAAAAGCGCTATATCAAATCAAGCATTATTATTATTATTTTAACCTCTAGTATATAGAAATCCTTGATCAAAGAATGAAAATGTCGGCAAACTCATTTTGATAGTTTTTTTTAAATCGCAGGTGAAAAAAGGAAGTACAATAGCTATTGATAAATTTGTGCCTAGAACTAGAAATGTAAAGTGCTGATGTTGTACTCCAATTCCTTTTAATACAGAATACAAAAGACCTACAGTACAACTGGGTAGGCAAACCTCTGCCTCAAGTCTGAGGTCACCTAGGAAAAAGGATGGGACCCTGCAGAAAATTGGAGATTTCTTACAAAAGTCCCCAACAGCACTTCAGTTCAAAGGTCAGTAAATGGGCTTTTTGGCAATTATGCTATCTCTAATTCTATAATTCAAATAATCCTTGCCTTAGTTCATGCCTGGTGACCCCAAACTGCATGTTTTATCTATAATAGAGATAGTGTGACAGCCTGGTCATATGCGAGTTATAAAATTAAAATTTTTGGAGGGGTGGAGAACAAACAACTAGTTGATATTTCTAATGGTTACCAGGTGCACTTAAACTTAAACTCACGTTTGTGAGCCGTTTGTTTTGTTTTTTACAGCCAAGAAATTTATGGGTACATTGAGTTCTCCCAAGAATCCAGAGGTTGAAATAGCCTACAATAATGAAACAAAACCCAAAAGATCAAGAAGGAAGCTGTACAAAAAAGATATATCATCCCCTATGGATATTGCATGTCAACCAGTAAGTGACAGTTCATAGTTAATGGTGGATTACTATTTCAAAGGTTTTGTTAAACCTATAAATGAAATGTAGAATGTTGGAGAAGTATTTGCAGACTGGTGCTTACACTAAGATCTAAAACCTGTATTGAAGCTGCATTATGTGTTTAAAGAGTTCTGTATGGTTATACTTAAAGAATAATCTTTGTAATATTAGTTTTCAACACACCTTCATACATCAACATTACAAAATGTTGTACATATTTGTGAATAAGCAGCCTAGAATTAGAAATTAAGCAGATTCACTTCCTTTGAAGTTGACTGGAAAAATAACTTTCATAAACATTTAGAATTTCTTAGAATATGTCCAACTTAAGCAATGCACGGTTAACCTTAGCCATTTGTAATTGAATTACTATGTCCAGACTAAGTAGTTCAACAATTAATTGATTAGTATTTTAATTGAATTATTAATCTGATAAATAAACATTTCTGAATTGCTCCATATAACAAGTTTCTATGACAAATCAGTGAGTTCTGGGCATTAAACTGAGACCTGATCAACAAGTGTTCTTGCAGCACTATTTTCATAAGATTGTGCAATTAACAGTATTTTGACTTAATAACTTTGTAAATTTGTAGATAATGGAGTTGAATGAAAAAGAAAGTGATCACGCTATCATGAAGAGACGGTTGCGTGCAAGAACAACTAAAGCAACAAAGTGATGTATTGGGTTTCTTCAAACGGAATCGTGNTTTTTTTAAACTTAAACAATCAATGTTTTTTCTTAAATCTGAGTAGATGTAAATTTTTTTTTGCTGATTTAGTATTTGCTACCTATCAATAAACATATATAGTCAAATATCTATGAATTATTTATTGTTGATTTCAGATAAAGTCAAATCTAGATAAAGCAGTTTAATATTTCAAAACCGAACTTACAGTCTTGTCCAGTTTAACATGCCTTTGCTAGTTCAAATGGTCATTCATAATTCTTGCAATGCCTATTGTCAAAGCATGAGGGTGTGGTAAGACCAGCTTCTGAGCTTGGAAAGAAATACTTTTCTACTAGCAATATGTACGGAACAAAAGCATCTGCCTTCTGGTTAGTGATTCATGCTTTATAAAACAAAGATCAATGCCTGTGCCGGCTGTTTGGAAGAGCTACCCAATCAATCCCACTCCCCCCTCTTTCCCCATATCCTTGCATTTTTTTCCTTTTCAAGTGCCTATCTTTTGAAAGCAGCTATTCAATTTTTTTCACCACCCATTCATGCATGGGTCTCCAAACTGAGAATTCTATCCACCCCACCTACACATGGAAATTCCAGAGATAGATTATTGGAATAGAATGTGCATCTCTGGAGGGACGCATCCTGCTTATCTAATTCCAGAAAGTATCAGGCGCAGGTTGGCAAAAGCCAAGTTACCCAAAATGGTATTTTGAAAATAATTGTTTTTGCTGATGTTTGTGGCTAGCTGAATGAGATTAATGACTTTTTTCAGCGAATAATGTACATCAGCAACATTTTTACCGGAAAAAAAAAGTTTTTAAAGTCTGTAAAAACTTTTTTAAAAAAGTACCCATAGTATAAATATTTTAAGTATCTATTTAAAATGCAATTTTTTGGGCAACCACTGAAATCCCTAATCTTTTGGGTTATTGGACTACAACTAACCCAAATATTCCATATCAATTCCCTCAGTAGAACTAGATTAGTACATTTTAGAAAGATCTGAAGAATACTAAATCAATTTTGTACTGTTAATTTAGGCACTTGGTTCATCGTCATGAACAATATTCTAAATGTTTGTACCATTCTGTACTTCAATATAATTTGAACAAAAACACTTTGAAGATCTTGTTAGAGAAATGTAGCAATTCACTCACCTTCAATATGTCAGGGACACTTATGTTGAGGTTCTGGCATTTCAGGTTCTTTTAACTGCTGCCTTCAATAAACAACAAAATTACATTTGTGTAGTGCCTGTCATGTTGGGAGGACGTTACAAGGCATTGGACAATCAGTGTTTCGGACCCGAGCTGGGGTTTGGGATCTGGGAGGGTGAAGTGTAGGTGGGGGAAAGAGGGTGACTGAAGGCACAGTCGAAGAAGAGTGTCTTCAGATGGGTCTTGAAGGAGAGAGGGGGTGAGGCAGAAGGACTGCGATATAGAGTTCCAGAGGGTGGGGGCAGAATGGCAGAAGGTCTGCCAGCCAATGATGGAGTGGGCAAGGTGCAGGGAGTGATAGGGTTGTGGAGCCTGGTGCGGAAGAGGATATGGGCTGCAGAGTTCTGGGTGATCTGCAGCCTATGGAGGGAGGAGCTGGGGAGGCCGACAGCAGGGAGATTGCGTAGTCGAGCCTGGATGTTATAAATGCATGTATGAGAGTCTCGTCGGCCTGTGGTGTGAAACAGTGGCGGAGCTGGGTAATGTTGTGGAGGTGAGGGAATGGAGAGCGGGTCATCGTATGGATGTGGGATGGAAAGGATAGTTGAGGGTTAAACGAGACACCACGGTTCCGGACTGGCTTAGTAAGGTGGAGTGTGCATCCTTGGATGGTGATTCTGACAGTACCTGAGGAGTGGAGGCATTGACGGGAGCCAATCAAGAGGGCCTCGGTCTTGTTGACATTCAACTGTAAAAAGCTAGTTCTCATCCAGAACTTAATGTCTGACAGACATTCTGTCAGGACAGCAGTGGCCTGGAGTCAAGGGTAGAGAGAGAGTTGGGTGTGTTCCACATACATGTGGAAATTGACCCTATATTTATGGATGATGTCACCAAGAGGGGCATATACATATTGAAAAGCAGGGGACCAAGGACTGAGTCCTGAGAAACTCCGCACGAGACGGTGTGGGGGCTAGAGGAGAAGCCATTTGTGGAGATGTCCTACCTTTCACAGGGTGTGAAAGGTAGGACCTAAACGATTCAAGGACAGAACCATGAAGGTTGAGGTGAGGAGAGGCGGTGGAGGAGGATAGAATGGTCAACGGTATCGAAAGTACTCTTTTTAAGGACCTCTTTCTTGAAGGCAGCAGTTATTATTATTATTAAAAGAAAGTGAAATGTCAACCTCAGAATAGTATAATAATAATCCTTACATTTGGTACAGCGCCTTTTATGTCAGGAGAATGTCTCAAAGCGCTTCACAGGATATACTGCACACTGCAGTAACTATTTTGAAGCTAATTTGCACACAGCAATGTCCCACAACCAGGCATGAAGAGAATGATCAATTTTATTTGAGATTGTTGACCAGGATACTGGGAGAAACTCCCTTCTTTTTGAATAGTGCCATAAGATCTTATGGCAGACAGCACCACTAACAATGCAGCACACACCCAGCACTACAATGGAGTGTCAATCTAGACTTTGATTTCTAAGTCCTGACATGGGGTTTGAACCTACAACCTGACTCAATCTAATTTAATACAGCATTGACTACAATCTGACGTTGAGGCAAAAGTGCTGCCAATTGAGTCAGGCTGACACACATTGATGTATGACAATGTTGCTGATTTCTCGACAACTGAAAGGGAAAACTGTTTACAAAATAGTTCTGCCTCACCTCAAATATGATTGTGTGAAAATGGAAGGATAATTTAAACCTTTTTTCCCTAAATTTCGATGTAATTTATGGGAAATTTCAGCCTTCAACCAGACCTAATGTCACTGTTTAAATATGTTGTCGTGGTGATAATGTGTAGAATTACAGAAGTACTGTAACTAACTGAATTGAGAGATACCACTGTGTTTCTAAAGGTTTAACTGCTAAACAATAGAATATTGTGTTCATACAAGAGAAACCTATGGGATGGTTCTGCTGGAACTGTTGCCCTCTGACTTCCAAGTGATGGTATTTACCATTTTCTGAGCCACGGGGCATAAATGACAATTAAAATCCATTCATGCAGAAGATTGACCTCAACTGCATGATGTTTATATGCTTTCTATTAAGGCTCACGTCTCAACCAATTGAGACTAATCTCAACCAAATGAGAACATTTAAAAAAAAAAATTAGTTTGCTCAGTCAGTTATATCATTATTGTAGTCTGATAGACGAGAGCTATAGAGTGCTGAGAGTTGTTCACAGATAAGAGAAAGAAGAGACTTTTTTCTGGCCTCCTCCTCGTCCCCCAAGTCCTCCGCTCCACCCTTGGCGGCTGTGCCTTCAGCCACTATGCCCTGAGGCTCTAGAACTCTCTTCCTCACTCCCTTCGTCTCGCTCCCTCCCTTCCCATTTTCATGTCTCTGCTGAAGACTTTTGTTTTCGTCCGCGCCTTTGGTCACCTTCCCCCCCCCACCCCGCCCCCTGGTTCCGTCCCGGGATCCGTTACTGTAAAGCGCTCTTGAGACGCCGTCCGGCGTGGAGGGCGCTATATAAATCCAAGTTGTTGTTAAGGTGTCCAAAAATACATTTATATCTTTCAGTCCAGTAAAATATTAGGGGAGGGCTATTTTCCTTTTGCCTTCACCTTCAACAATGCAATATACTCCTGGCACTTCATTATGGCGTCAGCCTGGACTATAAATTCAAAGTTCCAATTAGGGGCTTAAACGCACAACCTTTTGACTTGGAGGCAAGAATGCTACCAACTGAGCCAGACTGACACCTGGTATGTACATAACCTCCATCCTAGTCAGTTATGAAGTGCTTTGAGATATCCTCAGGACAAGAAAAACATGACCAATGTACATTAAAACTATTGTTATGTTTTTACATTACAGTTGTGTTAACCAGTTTCACATTGCAATATGTTTCATTCTCAAACTGAGATAAATTACTTTCCAACATTTAAATATGAAAAACAAAGAAATTCACCAGCTGAGAATATATTAAATGAGTTTTATTTTTGCCCAAATCATGGATTGTTCTTGCGGTAAGAAATTATTGTTTGGGACTCTTCTAGTGGCAGGAATATAGTAGAGAATGAACAACCTCAACAAAGGAGGGAAATGTGAAGAATAATGCTTCGAAAGTCAAAGTATAAGGATAGTTCTTGTGGAGAACTATGCAAGAAAAATCAGTCATGAAATATTTAGAATTCATGCATTCTGAAATTCTGTGAAAGGCTGTGAGGTATTTTTAGTCCTGATGGCAGTGCTCTAGTTCCCATTTATAAATGTACTGTATATTCAATTACCACTGGGAATAACAGGAATGAAATGCCATCTAGACAAATGCATTGCAAATATTAAAGAACAAATCGTCCATGTCATTAGAGATTTCTAATGAAAAAAACATTTCACTTACAAAACCTCCTGCAAACCCAAGAGTTTATGGATTTTGCAGACATGTGTAAATCAAGCAAAGCATTTAATCTGTTAGTTCTATATTGTAATTCCAAATTTATATTGTAGTTTAACTATAATGCAATGACTTTTGATGTCAACAAAGTTCTTTGTTAACCTACAATTGAAATGATAATGTCTCTATTGCAATTACCTGGATCAGTGAAGACATTTTCAATTTACATAATCCTAGCCCCTCCTCATGAAAATTTCAAATAGCCAGAATTATTTTTATATTAACATTGTTATAAATGTTGCCAACGAGGGTGATGCCAAAGGTCACATGAATTCATGTGTGAATGCCTATGTTTTTAGATCACCTGGGGTTTGGGAAATTTACTTTCAAATCCATGATTTCAATTATATCTTTAGAACACACTTGAATGCTTGGTATGATCAGTTGGTAATATGAGGTCTTGTATCATCTATATTTCAGGTGGTGATGCACAACATTGTCCAAATGATCTTTGCCATCACCCTTGATGGCAATTTAGTCGGTGGCTAGAAAAAATGGTGGATAATTGAGAGTCTGGAGTCGCTGTTTTTTTTTTTGAAAAGGACAATT